TGAATACATCGAGCAGCATGACAGGTGAGAGCCTGTGTGGTAGGAGGGCTAGGTAATGCTAGCTGTTTGCAGCCGGTGTGTAGCAACATCGACAAATAGCTAACGGCTAACGCTAAAGTGGGTAGCGTAGAGTTACAGTATATCAGTGGCGAACCGTGTCTATCACAACTGGACCTTCTGTAGACACCCTGAAAATGTGGGTGTTCTGGTCAGATGGACGGAGGCAGTCACTTTGCGTTGGATGTCCATCTTTTCACTGAATGATCGTCTTAAAAAAAGGGTACTAACAACAATCCCGGAACAACATCATCTTTACCTGTTGCCATTTCGACGTAAAAAAAACAATAAAACTTCATATGAATTGCTACGTAGCACTTACGCTGGATCCTCTGTCTCGACCCAGTGAACTACCGGGCCTTCTAGAGCAGTGGTTCTCAACTGGTTAGGCCTCGGGACCCACTTTTTACTTGGTCAATACATCGCGACCCAACATTTTCAAGCACTCAAATCTATTCAACAAAAAATCGTGCTGTAATATATACGCTTTTGAGCATACAATATTAATAAAAGTGAAGTACAGTGCATATATCCCTTATATCCCTTCACAGAACTAAAGTATGCTTTTAAAAAAGGTTTAATGAGATAATGGAATCAAAGCTGAACTATATAAAAAGGCACACATGCTGAAAACCCAACCCCAGCAGGGGGGTCTGGTCTCCCCCAGGAGATTTTTAGAAATACTAACATACTACGCATTCTGGTACACTCTGAGAAGAAAATAAATAAATCTATTACTACCCGACATATTAATAATATTTTATTTTATTTTTATTGTTAGTTTTTCACTTTGTTCTGACATCTTGCTGCGAGAAGAGTAAAGAGGAGATAGTCTGTGTGACTTACTTTAAATTGTGGATAAGGGTAGATAGCTCCCATTGTTCTGTGACCTGTCAATCATCAAACCGGGGGTCATATTTCATTATGTGTTCATTTTTTTCTGAAGTTGTACCCATGGATGTATAAAGATGTACAATCTTGATTCTGATTGGCCAGAAGACTCTAAAATATATTTTATTGAGAAGATGATCGTGACAGAAGTTTTCCAAACCGTTTATGGTCTCCGGTACTTCCAGTCCAACGCCGACTGCATGCACAGCGTTAGAAAATCGGGCCTTCAAAATAAAAGTTTGACTTTTTCCCCCAAAAAAAAAAAAGAAATTCCAATTTTTTTTTTAAACTTTTTTTTCTTCACTCACACATCCGCGACCCACTCGAAACGGGTCCGCGACCCACTTTTGGGTCGCGACCCACCAGTTGAGAACCATTGTTCTAGAGTACCCTGGAACCGAGGGAAACTCTGAAAGAATACGCCCATTGGCTACAAATCAAGATATGATTGGTTGATCAAACTGTCAGTCCAAAGGTACACTCTCATTCAGTGTAACGGCCAGGGCATTCTATCAAGGATATAGAATACCTTGGTTGAAGGATATTCTACCCAGAGACCCAGAAAAATATCTGATTGGTTGCATTTTTTTCTACCACTAAAATGCGTCGTGCATGGACCGAGAAAGACAAACAAATCAACGTAACACAGATACGATTCTCATGTATTCATTTTATTTACATTTTATAAAATTGTATTTATATAATTAATTCGATTTTTTGTTTGTTTTATCTGAGTGTTCCAGGGTATTCTGACGGTTCACCACTGCAATATATTATTACAATTTTCAGTTAAAATGTGTAGGTAAGTTATAGGCTAACGTTATCATGGCTTTATCTTTGATGTTTGAATGTTTCAGGCCCACACTGAGGAAGCTCGAGCCTCACAGCATGTATGAGATCTGGGTAAGAGATATTTCCTCTATCAAAACTTGTATTTATAATCAGTCAAGTGAAAATATAGAACATCCTTGTCTAATCTTTCTTTCTGTGGATCCACAGGAGGATGATATTGACGGAGAGCACATTGTTGCCTTTGCTGAGGAAGATGACCCAGGTACATTTATACCTTAGTGCCTCTTTATACGCTATTTTAGCATTAATATTATCTATTAATAGTGATTGAATCAGCAGGACGATCCAATATATAGCTAATTTTTTTGCACACCATATTTGACAATTGAACTTTTCTTTAGACGGTTTTGAATTCCTGGAAATCCTGAAGGAGGTGGCACGTGAGAACACAGACAACCCCAACCTCAGCATCATCTGGATCGACCCCGACAACTTCCCCCTGGTACGAATTTCTTTCACTTGCACTGTTTATTGTCTAACAGGCATTTTAAACTGTCGTGTTTGTTGCCTTATGTCTTCAAAAACATAATTGGAATTGCACCAGTATACATAAGCCTTACCATTTGTCTGTACTTTTCTTTTAGCTGGTGCCATACTGGGAGAAGACCTTCGGCATTGACCTCTCTTCTCCTCACATTGGAGTTGTAGACGTTGAGGATGTAAGTCACCTCTCCTACCCCTTTCAAAAACCTTAAATGATTAACTAATGTCAAGTTTTATTGAATTCCCGAACATTATACTGATGCTCTGGAGTGTTCTCTCACTTAAAATGTATTGAAAAAAGTAGAACAAAAACTCATAAAGGAACCCTACTATACTGTTTTTCATCAATATGTTATAGGTCTCAGATATATACAAACCTTGGTTGGTGATTGGCTAATGGTTACACAAGCCAAAAAATCGTTATGACATCATAAAGTGGCCAAAATCTGATCAGCTCATTTTCAGACAGGTTTTTATATAAATAGATCAGGACAAAAAGCGAGCGAATCTTTTTTCATGTAACTTTCAGAATCTTTTTACACAGAGGGGACACATGTTGATGTAGAAGAGACATGAAAGAGTGGATTTTGCACAATAGGTGACCTTTAAAGGGGACCTATCATGCAAAATGCACTTTTGTATGTCTTTTATACATGAATATGTGTCCCCGGTGTTCCAGGGAACTCACCAAGTGTCAGAAAACACAACCCTCTCTATTTTCCTCCAAACCCAAATCTCTAAAAAAGGGGCTGCAACGGATCTGATAAAAACTGATCCAGATTTGAACACTGTCCTGACGTCAGGACGGTGGCGCTACGGCTATTGGGCCAACTCCACCAATCAGGAGGAGACAGCCACGGCCATTGCCGTTCGAAAGCGCTGGAGATGCTGTAGTACATATGCCAGGCCTGTAGATGGTGCTGTTCTCACTGAATCTGCCCTTGCAAAAACAGAGCTAAAAAATGTCAAATTGAGCAAAATGAGGCATGGCTAAAATGCATGATCTGTTTGGTATTTTGAAAAAAAAAAAGTATAAATATGCCTTATAGGTATGGTCCTAGACTATATTATTCAAATATAGCATGATAGGTCCACTTTAAGCTACCTTTAAGCTACCTTTAGCAGCGACTTATCTAAAGAAATGGCCCTTTTTTGTAACCATGAACAACCTGTAAACAATACTATTCAACTATTTAGTACACTGTAAAAACACAAACGTTTTGGATTGCGTTAAAGGTTTATTACTATGTATATGATACGATATGTACAATTAACCTAAGTCACTATTTAAAGGGGGCTATTTTACATATACTGTGACTATCATTGGCAGGCTGACAGCGTGTGGATGGAAATGGACGATCAGGACGACATGCCCACAGCTGACGAGCTCGAGCAGTGGATCGAAGACGTTCTGTCCGGAAAGATCGACCCAGATGATGATGATGAAGACGATAATGACGATGATGATGACGATGATGACGACGATGAGGACGATGATGAGGACGATGATGATGAGGACGACAATGACGACGATGAAGACGATGATGACGACGATGATGATGATGATGATGATGATGAAGATGACGACGACGATGACGACGATGATGAATAAATGTTTACTACCATCTTCCACTTTACTTTAATGGAGCCAAACATGGCCGAAACCCAAAGGTAGCAGTTTTTTTCTTGCAGCAAACACATGTTGTGTAGTTTGCCTCCTGTATGGATTTCTGTAAGGGACAAACATAATGACCCTATGGGAATCTTTTACCGTGAGTCAGGGAAGGAGATTGTTAAAGAAGCAGAGGATTTGCATCTATAAGGGAACGGGGTGCAGCTAAAATGTTACTGTTACTGTTTAAAATGCTAATATCTCACCTCTGTGGTTCATAATGAATGCGAGCTAGGAGGCTAACAGAGGTTAACCTTCCTGACATTTTATACCTAATGTCACAAATTTTCCAATTTCTCCAATTTACTGATACCCTGATTCAATGTCATGTTTTCTACTTGATGAAGAGAAGAAACAAAAGTTCACTTGTACTATTTTCAAAGTGATTAAACCTAAACTCACTGGACAGTCTTAAGATTATTACAATCTTGGAAACTATTAAGAAACCGGAAAATGAAAAAAATACAAAATAAATTGTTTTCTGCTCTCATATTAAAAATGGAAGTTGAAAATATTTTAAAACCATTGTTGTTTGTTGTTGTCCTTTCTATGGGAAAAACATTACTTTTTATATGTGTGTGTGCTATGTGGGTCATTAAGTTTAACCATACATTTATGTGTCGTACTATTCAGGAATTAAATTCAATCAATATGCAACTTACTTACTTTTACAGTTGTACAGCTTATGAATAGACTTGTCTATTTAGTTACTTTGTTTCCTCACAAATTGAAGGGAAACATAACCCTAACCCTGACATTTCTAAGATGAAAAGTCAATACAATATCATACTTTTGGGTATAATTGGTAAAAAAAATGATCACCATTTAAACTGTAATCTTACATATAAAAGGTGACTATATTATTTTCCTATTTTTGCATTTTTTGAACAATAAACCAAGTTTAAAGCTTGACAGTGTTCATCAAATAGTTTCTACTTTCTCTGTTGTACTTACATTTGCCTTAACACTAAAAATTAGCTGAAAGTCGGAAAACTACAAAATTCAGAGGTAGAAATGTTTCTGTATCGCACAAAAGTACATACAGTATTGATAGATGCAGCTTCAAGCCCTTTATTTGACAATATTTTAAGAAACACAAACAGGATTTGAATACAGCTTCACAAACATTTTCAGTAACAGAGAAAGTACACACAGTTGTGGGGAATATTAAATTCTTAGAAAGGAAACTTTGATGGTGCTTGGTAGATCCTTTGATATGTGACCTTTTTGGGTCAAATAACGCTTAGTCTAGTTTGATAGATTTTCACAGACTGACATTTATCTGAATTGGCACATCACAAAAAATGATAACCAACAGTTTAATATAGACAATCAACCAATTTACTTTGAGGTAAGATGATGATAAACTTTCAACAAACAGGTGTGTGTACAGTTTCTGATTAAATTGAAAATAGCCGAGAATCTACGTGTTAATCCCATGTAGCCACAAGTTATAATGACCGAGGTCAATAAGTAACCGGTGTTATAATGCAGCATAAGAACAACATAACATATTGTCATGTAAGCAAAAAAGGCCTAATTAAGCTAAGCTTGACAGAGGTTTGGATCTGGACTCCAATGTCTTCTAACGCCTCTAAAAATGTTTTAACTCTTCAAGTAAGGACAGTGTGGACCAGTCCAGGTTGGCTTACTTGCGGTTTTCTTCTCCAAAATGGACAGGACGCCATTTGGTTTCAGATCTTGAAACATAAGATATTTTACAAATCAATACCACCTCTTTTTGCTTCTCTTTGTCTACACTTTTAATCGGGCATTCGTCGTCCAATGTGGCTTCGTCCAATTTGACTTCGTAAAGTACGGCCACGGTTGGCTTACTTCTACATTTTCCATGTCCTTTACATGAAGCACAGAATGTCAACACATTTGCAACAAAGAAAGACCTATTCAGTCCTTCATGACATCCACAGTCATGAAGGACTGAATAGGTCTTTCTTTGTTGCAGAGGCCATACCTCTCTAGGTACCTGTATAAACAAGATCATTGTTTCACTGCAAAGTAAATGGCATTGATAAAGTACAACACTTATAACTGAATCAGTAGTGTGGTACCTAAATGAAACAGTCCTGCCTTTAAATGCAGTTAATATGAATATCCATCTTATGCAAATGCATTTCTAAATAAGTGTATTGACTTAACCATTTAACTCACGTTTTCCAGGCAGCGTCATCTTTAGGAATGCTCCCCTGAATGTAGTGTTTGCATCGAAATTTGACGAACACATCGTTACTGTCTCTACAAGATGCAGGATTCAAACCATCAACAAGGGCAAGAGTGGCCATGAAGATGATAAAGACAGCGATGGTCATCTTGTCTAGAGCGGGAGAACGAGAAATATAAAAGTAAAATGTTAATGTATGAACATACAATAATGTATTAATTGTATTAATGTATCAAATAAAACACAACATATATTCTTCAATATGTTTTTATTACTTACGTGTTTGTAGGCGAGCGAGTAGAGATCTGTCCCACTTCGATCAGTCAGCTGGACGATTGAATCCTCAGCTGGATGGAGCTGCTTTAGTAGTTTCTAAAGAGGAAGTAGCCTTCATCTTCATCTTCTCAAACAAGCTGAGTCACTTTGTTCTAGTGAAAGACACACTAATACTGGGTTCCTCTTATCCCTCGCCTTGTCACGTAGTTAAAATGGAAAGAAAAACAGGCCCTTTCTTTGCAAGATTTACAAAGGAATAACGAGGCGTTCCAAAGCTTATTGAGATATTACATTTTGTAGTCCTGGCTTGGATAGGACGTGCCAGAGCTTCTTCTCCGAGCTCCTTCCTGATGTCTAAGCCCCTTTGAGGTGAGCCTGTCACGACCAAAAGACTGTGACCGTTGTTAATGATTGGAAGGGATAGGGTGAGGTTAGGAAAAAGGGAATCGCTCCTCCAGAGCTGCGTGGGGCACTGGCTCTCGGGGATAATATTATGGTTAAAAAACGTTCTAAAAAACTCCAAGAGAAATACATGCAATGTTTCTAAAAGCCCTGTTAAAATTAAGAATAAAAATAACTAAAATAAATTAAAAAAGTAAGAGGGGACCAGATCACAGAAGAGGCAGAGCAGCGGGACCTCGAGATCTCCTAACCTTCCGGGGACCCCTAAAGGATGTGGCTGACGAGGACCCGTCCTAAGGGAATCCTTCAAAAGGCCTGGCAATGGTGTAAAAACATTCATAAGACAATATCTTAAAAAAGCATGCAGGTAAATGATAAAATTAATAGAAAAGTGCTTAAGGTAAAAAGTGTTTTGTAAAGAATTCACACAACAAATCAAATTGATATTGAATAAATAAGTAAATAAATAAATAAAGAGATAGGAACGAATTGTCATAAAATGAAGTGTGATTAAAACCAGCATGACCCAGGTTCACAAATTAAAAGATTCCACATAGGACAGGCCGCAAGTATTTAAAATTACTTCTCTCTGCAGGTGGTTTTGAGGAATCCAGTGAAGGCGGAATACAAGGATAAAATAATAAAATGCAATACACAAAAACATTTTATTAAAAGAAGCAGGAAGAGGGAGGGATGGCCTCCTCATATGGACCCTTTGTTATTTGAAATCAAGCCATGCAAACAAGTGGTAAAATTAGAATAATTAAAATTAAAACTATTTACAAAATATATAAATATAAATAAAAACAACATATTCAAAAAGGCAAACCATGCTGGACAAAGGGTCCGGGTGAGGAAGGTCCCTTTATTCCTGCACGGATGAAACACATAATTCATAAATAATTAATAGTTCCATAAAACAAAAAATAAATAAAATTAGATAAATATTAGTATTCAAATAAATAAAAATGTAAAATAATATATTTGATAAAATTAATGGATAAAATATCAACAAAAAAAACAACTGGATATTGACTCGTGTCGCAGAGAGGGGAGTTCAAAAGGCCACCCAGAGGAGAGATAAGGGATGCAATGGGAAGGTTAGGAGACCAAAATCAGTTAAAGCGAGTTAAAAACAAGGGGAGGCGGATCCATCACCGGTACCTCTCGTTTAGACCGTTGGGGTCGATTGTTTTCAGTAGATTAATCCACCTCCTCTCCCCCGCCTGTCTCTGGACCGTGCAGTCCCTGTTGCTCTCCAGGCCCAAGGATTGTACCTTATCTGCGCCGTGGAGTTTAAAATGTGCATATAAAATGCTTGTGTCGTCACTGCTATTTATTTTATAAATGTGTTTGATTCTGAGACTGATCTCATTTTGTGTCTCCCCCACATAGAGTCTGTGGCAGGCCCTGCAACTAACAGCATACACTGCATTCTTTGTGTTAGGTGTCAGGGCCTGTCCAAGGTTTGCACCGGCTCTACTGAATGGGTTAAAAATGTGGGGGAGGCGGATGAAACCAACCTCAGAGACTCGAGGCGCCTCCCTGTTTGGTGTTTTCTTGTTAAAATTGGTGTGGACTAGGAGGTCCTTCAAGTTTTTATTTCTGCGGTAAGCGGAGATCAGCCGACATTGCCGCAACGCATCACTGTCCGCCCTCGCCCCCTCAAAGTTGGACCTGAGGTCGCCTAAAAGGCGCCCCAGGTCCTTGGAATAGGTGGTGATCGGGGGGACGAGTGTCAGACCGGAAGGCTGGGTTGAGATGGTGTTGTATTTATCTTTAAAAGTTCGGCCGACCTCCGCTTTGAGGCTTCTTCTTCTCCTAGCTCATTCCTGAGGTCTAAGCCCCTTTGAGGTGAGCCCCTCATGACCAAAATACCATGACCGTTGTTAATGGCTGGAAGGGATAGGGTTGGGGTCCGGGTTGAGTTTGGAAGGTTGATCAATGGGAAAGTTAAAATCTTTGCCTTCTGGCTCAGCTAGCTTTATATTCCCCAAAACTGTTCAGTGCAACGCTCCCACCACTACAGAAGCCAAACCAATTCACCTGTCGATTTTGCAATGCAACTATCCTCATCATGACCCCAGGATATTCAAACTCCATGATTTGGGGAGGCAATTGCTCCCAGTCGTCACAATAATTGGGAACAACCCTGAAGTTTCCCGGGAAGGACAGTTTTGTAAAATAATATATTTTGTAGTTGGATCTGTGTGAAAAAAAAATACCCAGCAGGAATTACTACTTTTTTTGGATATGTATTACTTGTCTAGATAAAATACATGTACTAAGTTATATCTGCATTTTGTTTTGCAACCCCATCTTGCAGAATGACAGCTGTAAAGTGGGGTTTCGTAACGTTTTTCACTATCATAAACCGTCAGCTTTTGTAGAAGTTGTCTGGAGAGCAGTTGATGTTACAGATTAACCGTTGAGCTCGTAGGAGAGATCTTAAAGATACATCTTGACTTGTTTATGGTCAGTCTGTAATTGGCCCACAATCTGCCTGCTATGCTCACAAGTGCGATTTTCCTTATTAATAATACCATCACCTTCCCTGTCAGAATCAGCATTGGGGTTGAGGGGGGTCCAGACAACTTGACTAAGAAGACAATATTTGGTCTAGACGGACAAAACAACACTCATCGTTGGGCAACCCCACATTGCAGAATCTTGGCTTGTTTTTGATCATGTTGCTGTTTTGCAGCCTTTCATTGGACCACAATCTGCCTATCATCCTGACATGGTTGATCTTTATTATTGATACAACCATCAACTTCCCTGTCAGAAGTCAGCATTGTGGTTGAGGGGGGTCCAGACAACTTGACTAAGAATACCATATTTGGTCTAAAGGGACAGTGAACAGTGAACAGTGAACAACTCCAAAACAACAGTCTTACTCAATAATGTTCTCGAACAAGTTTCTCTCAGGCAGTAATCGTCAGCTTTCACAAGAAGATGAACCCTGTGTCCTTGCATCAACTTTATCTTGGGGCAGTGGTGGAGAAGTCCGTGTTTTGGGACACGAAAGGTCACCGGTTCAAGTCCCTGAAAGACTAAGTGCTACAGAGGTGTCCCTGAGCAAGGCACCGTTCCCTACACTGCTCCCCGGGCACCGTACATAAGGCAGCCCACTGCTCCTAAAACTAGGGGGGGTCAAATGATGGTAAATGTCCCCAACTGTTAAACTGGACAGTTAACAGTTTGATTTTATTCAGTACGGCAACAAAAGGCAAAAGTCAACCCAACTGGATAGAAATGATTCTCATAGCTTACAAAGAGGTTTATCATCACGCTTGATCTTATCCTAAAGAGAGCAAACACTGCATTTATGTTGGGGATCTGGGCCTCCTTAGAATATATAGGTATTAAGTATTTAAATAACATCCTCAAAATATAAAGTAAATCAATTCTGACTCCCATTATGGTTTTTGAGCTTTAAAGTTAGGGGAGAGTGACTTTTTTTTGTTTGTAAAGGCAGGCCAAGTCTCCTACCTGCAAACCAAGGTCATTCCCTTCAGACTAATCTGTGCTTTGCACTGTACAGTTGTAGAATAATGCAGAGTATTGCCCAGATGAAGAATTGCACTGGTTATGTAGTCTCAGTATAGAAGTTATGTCTCAAAGCTGTGTCAGAACAAATATTTCCACAGGTATCAATTCACTTGTAATATGTTGCAAATGACATAACCACGTAAAACTAACTCTCCTTGAGAGAAATCAGCATATTGTGCCGACCTTTGACCACAGCACATTGCATGATGGGGCAGATAACTGGGCAAATACAGGGTTCATGCATCTGTAGACAGACACAGGACTAGTTGTTGGTGAACTTAAGTGCAAATACAAACGTTTGGGGAATCAATGACACCACCTTTAGTGTTTTTTGGTCAAACATAAGTTCCAGAAAAGAGTGAATAGGGATATGCAGCACAAAAAAACATAAAATATTGTGTCTGCATCTAAAACAAATTAGATGCAGACACAATTCTTTATGTTTTTTTGCTTCATGTCATTAGTCATATCTGTTGTCTGTGTTCTGTTTATGTGCCTGACCATAATCTACTTAGAGTGGATGAGCAGATATAGGGTTAAGGGAAGGGAGGGATAAAGGGATGTCAGAAAGTCGGGTTGAAGCCATTTGTTTTTGTTAACATTTCTCTCGGCTGTCAATGATTAACGGCTTGCCAGAAAATGCGGTCAATAGTATTTTCTTATTGCAAAATAACTCTTTTATCAAAACTGATGTTAAACATTAACAGGTCCCTATAAACAACATAAAAGCAGCCAGAGGGATCACACCATTTAAAGTTCAGGGGACTTAGCGACGTTGTATCAACTTACAAAATGAGATTGACCATTGTGCTGATTGTGTCGCTGTTTAGTGGCTTAATTTTGGCCCAGGAAGGTGATAATGTAAGTGGTACACAGTCATGTGATGCTTGTGAAGTAAGTGAGAAACTAAAGGCTATGGAAACCAGACTGGTGAACAGTGAAACCAGACTGGTGAACAGTGAAACCAGACTGATGGACACTGTAACCAGACTGATGGACACTGAAAACAGACTGAAGGAGAGTGAAAACCAGATTCTTGAACTGAAGAACAAAGGTAACGTGAAACTTTAGTTCTGATTTAAAGACCTCATACGGTAGAATAATGTGTGGTGATGGGATTATCAAATGAAAAATTGTTGAAATGCTAAATTTAAATGATGATGAGATTACGATGTGTCTTTGTATAGAACATAAGACGGTCATATTCAGTGCAGCAACAGGAGGAGGAGGGAATACCATTGGACCCTTCAACACAGACACAACTTTAATCTACAGAACCTTGATCACAAACATTGGAGCCGCCTACAGTCCATCCACAGGTAAAACTACTCCCATCCTGTTTAGAGGTCTTAAAATGCATTGAATGACCACTGATGGTGTGCGACACCCTGTTGTTTCCACAGGTATCTTTGTTGCCCCGGTTCCAGGTGTTTATTACTTTACCATCTTCTTTCATGTTGGACGGGACCATGGCACCATCTTACGGCTCTACAAGAACAATGAATTGATTATAAAGACACATGATTTCCCTTCAACCTCTGACCGGGCTGATAATGGAGGAAACACAGTTTTCCTGCAGCTTGTTCAAGGAGACCGGGTGTATGTGCAGCTGGGTGCAAACAAACATGTTTGGGGAACTGACTATGATACAACCTTCAGTGGTTTTTTGGTCACTGAAATGTGAGAATCTGTATCTCTGTTTTCATTCCTGCTTGAGGGTGGCTGAAAAAGATCTGAGCTCTCTATAAACTGAATATCTATCACAATGAAATGTTCAAATGTAATGAAACACATAGCTGTTGCTCATAGAATCATAAAATCAAGACTAAGTATGTCTTCTTCAATCATTGCTTTATTAAATTCATTATGCTGCAAAGTTGACAGTGAATTTCTTGTTTTCTGTTTCCTGAATATCTTAATATATTGAGTGTTGTGCATTTCAATTCAAAGCTCCATCTCATTGCAACAACCTCTCAACTTAGATGTCTAACCTGCCTGATAATGCATCAATGGAAGACACATGGAGCGAGAAATGAAGACGTGGAGAAGTTCCCATTTATTCAAATGTCAAGAAGTGCTACTTTGATACTAGCGAACCTATTTGCATTACAGTATTCAAAACTCACCTGCTTCATCTCAAACTTGCAAAGGTGGCTCGAGTTGTATCAGATAGAGATTCACTGGACTCTGTCCCTTAAAGGATCTTGGTAGATAAAGAAATACAACATCAGTCATGTTTTATTCATGTATTTTTTGGCAAACCTCTGAAAATATCTAGTAAATAGCCCTTTAACCCTTAATAATAATAAATGATCCCTAACCCTATGTCATCTCACTTTATACCTTAAGACATGTTGAATAAGGGAATTAAATACATAACTTGATAATCAGTAGACAGAAACATTTAATAGACTCATGATGATAAAATGATACATGTTACATTATATATAGATATGTGGTGAAATGAAACCTGCTACATTTGCTTTTAGAGAAAATACATTACCACATTGTTAAGGATACCTCGAGAAAAAATATTTGTCTCTTTCTTTTCTCATGGTCTCTCCTGGTGTTATTACTGAAGCTTAATGTGCAGATTTTAAATAACATATACATTAATGAACCAGTGGCCAGTCATATACTGTAAGCATAGTACCGGTGATGATTGTAACACAATCTGGATGGACAACATCTGATTATAAGTGCAATTTTGTAAGGAATATCCAATTGGGCATATGTTAATAAAAAGGCCTAATAGTACATGACAATGGGTTCTGAAGTAATGGTAGACAGTAAATGAAGAAAGTCTGCCATCAAGAGGGCAGAGTTTAGAGCCCTTATTTCGTGAGTAACTACTGTCCAACGAAAGACCTGATTTGTCCTTAAAAGACAAGTGACTGCTGTTTGTCTGTTTTTAGAGTGGGAGCCAAGCTGGAGGAGCGGGCGGTGTGCAGAAGTGTCCCCCCCTCATCGTGTGCCTGGATTTTAAAGAAAATACTTTTAAGCCCTTTTAGCTTGTGAAATTGTTTTGATTGTGTAGTTTTAGTTTTTAGTAAAGTTTTTATTTCCAATAATACATTATTTTAACCTTTTAAACTTGAGTAGTTTGGCTCTTGATTGCCCATCACGCTCTCTCCTCGATTTAGAAGAACCCTTCCTCTCTTCCTACATTTCCCCCCTTCCCCCCTCCTATATACAGTGTATGTCACATGCTGACACTTTTCTTCTTTTTTTCCAAATATTTCTCACTCACTTCTAGTATTGTAGAAGTGTAAATTCCAATAGCAAACTTATTTACCTTGCTTATAAAAGAGTGCCTCTGCAACTTCACAGCAACAGAGCAGGAAATCATAATCTGAAACCATAATCTTTGTAAATATTCAAGAACAAGTTCCTCTCAAGCAGAAAAGCGTCAGTTCCTCACAAGAAGTTGAACCTGGGGTCCTTGCATTAAACCTTATTTGCTGGAATGTGGTTTGTGTCTGTCAAAACGTACATGAGCGATAACATTGCTCATGTACCCACCCCTCCAACAGCCTCTTCAGCCTCCTGCCTTCAGGAAGAAGGTTCCTCAGCCTCAGCTCGCGCACCTCCAGGCTGGGCAACAGCTTCCTCCACCAGGCGGTCAGGATGCTGAACTATCTCCCCTCCCTCCCTCTCTCCCCCTCTCTGACATCTCTCCCCTGAACTCTCCACCCTGCCTCCGACCTTTCTCCCCTGCCCCAAATGGTCCTGGACTCTAACCCCCTAACTCACTTTTCTGCCCATCTCCGCTGCTACTGCACTGAAACTGTACTTTGAACACTTAAATTATATTATTAACATTTTAAACTGTATACCCCGGTTATCTAGGCCCTTTGTTTTGTTTAATGTATACCATGTTTATCTAGGCCCTTTTGTTGTTTGATGTATATAAGTCACACTGTAGGACTGCGGGAAACGATATTTCGAGATTTCTGGATGTACAACATGTAGAATTCTTGACAATAAAGCTGGCTTTGACTTTGACTTGACATGTCCCCGGTGCTTTGGGGGCCAACTTCATCTTCTTCACCTTTAGCCTTTCTCTCTGCAGCCGGTTGAGAAATATACCGTCCATGTCATCTTTGATTTAATATTGACACTTCTGTCACATTTGGCATCCATTTTGATGATAAGGAGAATAATGTTAAATGATTTTGGTTATACATTTTCCTTTTGAGTCGCCCTTAGTTACCTGTTGTCTTTCATTTCTCACACCCTTTCAGTCTTTTGAATTGCCATGTTGTTGAAAGGTGCAATACATATACATCTGTTTAGTGAGATCAATGTAATACTGAAACATTTTCAATCTTTGACCCCATATTAATGATAATAACATACATTTTCCAGAACATATATTAGTATTTCCTTATTTTCTATTACCTGGATAATAAAGCTGATTGGTTACCTGGCAGAATATGAAGTAAATACTGTTTCCTCATTGCAACATGAGCCTTGTTTCAAAGGGGATTTAAATAATTAACACATCATCATTTAAAAACATATAAAAGCAGCCAGACGAATCATATTAAAAAAAATGTGTCACCATTAATCTTTAGTCTTACATCTAAAATATGAAAATATTATTATCATATTTTTTTAACAATAAACCAAGTTTAAGGCTTGACAGTGTTCATCAAATAGTTTCTACTTTCTCTGTTGTACTTACATTTGCCTTAACACTAAAACAATGAGCTGAAAGTTGGAAAACTACAAAATTCAGAGGTAGAAATGTTTCTGTATCGCACAAAAGTACATATTACTCATGAACATATTGATTGATGCAGCTTCAAGCCATTTATTTGACAATATTTAAACAACACAAACAGGATTTGAATACAGCTTCACACAATTTTTCAGTAATAGAGAAAGTACACACAGTTGTGGGGAATATTAAACTCTTAGAAAGGACACTTTTTATGGTGCTTGGTAGATCCTTTGATATGTGACCTTTTTTGGTCAAATAATGCTTAGTCTAGTTTGACAGGTTTTCACAGACTGACAATTATCTGAATTGACACGTCACAAAAGATGATAACCAACAGTTTACTTTAGAGAATCAACCAATTTACTTTGAGGTAAGATGACGATAAACTTTCAACAAACAGGTGTGTGTACAGTTTCTGATTAAATTGAAAATAGCCGAGAATCTACATGTTAATCCCATGTAGCCATAAATTATAATGACCGAGGTCAATAAGTAACAGGTGTTATAATGCAGCAGAAGAACAACATAACATGTTGTCATGTAAGCAACAAATGCCTAATTAAGCTAAGCTTGACAGAGGTTTGGATCTGGACTCCAATGTCTTCTAACCCCTCTAAAAACGTTTTAACTCTTATAATAAGGACAGTGTGGACCAGTCCAGGTTGGCTTACTTGTGCTTGGGTTTTCCTAAATGGAAAGGACGCCATGTGGTTGTCGTAGGTTGCCCACAAATCACACCCACCGTTTTGCGGACCTCTCTTACATTTGTAGCATCGCAGTGGTTGTTGTCGAAGTTGACTGTGACAACGTAATGTGTCACGGTTGACTCACTGTAACATGGATTCCCTGTACATTCAGCACAGAAATTCGCATCACGTAAGCTTTGGCTCGTCATGAAGGACTGAGGAGTTCTACTTTTGTCGTAGCAGAGGCCATAGTCATCTAGGTACCTGTATAAACAAGATCATTGTTTCACTGCAAAGTAAATGGCATTGATAAAGTACAACACTTATAACTGAATCAGTAGTGTGGTACCTAAATGAAACAGTCCTGCCTTTAAATGCAGTTACTATGAATATCCATCTTATGCAAATGCATTTCTAAATAAGCGTATTGACTTAACCATTTAACTCACGTTGTCCAGGCAGCCAACTCGTTTGGGCGAGGAAAGGCACGCTGCAAGACATGCTTGCAAAGAAATCTCTTGAACTGATCTAAGTGTCTGTCACACTCTTCAGCAGTTAAACCATCAACAAGGGCAAGAGTGGCCATGAAGATGATAAAGACAGCGATGGTCATCTTGTCTAGAGCGGGAGAACGAGAAATATAAAAGTAAAATGTTAATGTATGAACATACAATAATGTATTAATTGTATTAATGTATCAATTAAAACACAACATATATTCTTCAATATGTTTTTATTACTTACGTATTTGTAGGCGAGCGAGCAGCGATCTGTCCCACTTCGATCAGTCAGCTGGACGATTGAGTCCTCAGCTGGATGGAGCTGCTTTAGTAGTTTCTAAAGAGGAAGTAGCCTTGATCTTCATCTTCTCAAACAAGCTGAGTCACTTTGTTCTAGTGAAAGCACTAATACTGGGTTCCTCTTATGCCTCCCCTTGTCACGTAGTTCAAATGGTAAGAAAAACAGGCCCTTTCCCCAGCAAGATTTACAGAGGAATACCGAGGTGTTCCCAAGCTCATTGACACATTACATTTTTGTAGTCTGAGCTTGGATAGGACGTGCCAGAGCGTCTTCTCTGAGCTCCTTCCTGAGGTCTAAGCCCCTTTGAGGTGAGCCCGTCACGACCAAAAGACCATGACTGTTGTTAATGGTTGGAAGGGTTAGGGTTTTGGGGAACGTGCGGCGCTCCGTATTTAAACCTATTTAAAAACTCCTGTAATAAAACCAATAAAAGTTTATAAAAGCCCTGTTTGGTCTGTGTTATTTTTTTTTAATGAAATAAAGAAAATGCAATAAAAGGGATAGAAGAGAGCAGCGGCTGAAGCACAGAGCGTATGCAGCGGGGTTAAAACCTGTACTCCTGCTCCCCCGGTGGGGTGTCCGAGGCTGTGTCCCACAACATCTGGTAAAAGACCTGGTAAGTGGCTTAAAAACATCTGGCTAAAAGTACCGAGGTTGACTTTTTTTTAAATCGGCATGCAGGTAAAATGAGTTTGAACAAATAAATGATAAATAAATACATAAAAGTGCTTAGTAAAATAAGTTATTTTAAAAGTCAGTGCTGGTAATAAAAATCACATCAACCCAAATGTTAAAATATGCAAGATATAAAACAATATGTAAATGTCAAATGTAGAATATAAAATATAAAATATAAAATACACACGTGTAGGCACACGGGGAGGGAAAATATTTTTAAAATAAAGTCAACCAAGTGTCCCTAAAAGTGTTTAAAACCCAGGCCGAGGTCTAGAGAGGTGGTGCAGGTGAGACATGGGACACGCCTCGGATGATGTTTAAAAATACTTTATTAAAGGGGTTATTTCAGGGTGTTTCCCTGCAGGAGGCTTCAACATCCATTTAAAATCAATTATATACCCCACAACTGTTCAGTGCAACGCTCCCACCACTACAGAAGCCAAACCAATTCACCTGTCGATTTCGCAATCCAACTACCCTCATCATGACCCCAGGATATTCAAACTCCATTGGGAGGCAATTGCTCCCAGTCGTCACAATAATGGGGAACAACCCTGAAGTTTCCCGGGAAGGACAGTCTTGTAAAATAATACATACATTTTTTTGTTGGATCTGTACAAAAAAAAATACCCAGCAGGAATTACTACTTTTTTTGGATATGTATTACTTGTCTAGATAGAATACATGTACTAAGTTATATCTGCATTTTGTTTTGCAACCCCATCTTGCAGAATGACAGCTGTAAAGTGGGGTTTCGTAACGTTTTTCGCTATCATAAACCGTCAGCTTTTGCAGAAGTTGTCTGGAGAGCAGTTGATGTTACAGATTAACTGTTGAGCTCGTAGGAGAGATCTTAAAGATACATCTTGACTTGTTTATGGTCAGTCTGTAATTGGCCCACAATCTGCCTGCTATGCTCACAAGTGTGATTTTCCTTATTAATAATACCATCACCTTCCCTGTCAGAATCAGCATTGGGGTTGAGGGGGGTCCAGACAACTTGACTAAGAAGACAATATTTGGTCTAGACGGACAAAACAACACTCATCGTTGGGCAACCCCACGTTGCAGAATCTTGGCTTGTGTTTGGTCATGTTGCTGTTTTGCAGCCTTTCATTGGACCACAATCTGCCTATCATCCTGACATGGTTGATCTTTATTATTGATACAACCATCAACTTCCCTGTCAGAAGTCAGCATTGTGGTTGAGGGGGGTCCAGACAACTTGACTAAGAATACCATATTTGGTCTAAGGGACAGTGAACAGCTCCAAAACAACAGTCTTACTCAATAATGTTCTCGAACAAGTTTCTCTCAGGCAGTAATCGTCAGCTTTCACAAGAAAATGAACCCTGTGTCCTTGCATCAACTTTATCTTGGGGCGGTGGTGGAGAAGTCCGTGTTTTGGGACCCGAAAGGTCAGGTTCAAGTCCCTGAAAGACCAAGTGCTACAGAGGTGTCCCTGAGCAAGGCACCGTTCCCTACACTGCTCCCCGGGCGCCGTGCATAAGGCAGCCCACTGCTCCTAACACTAGGGGGGGTCAAATGATGGTAAATGTCCCCTCTGTGGGACGATTAAGAGTTCCTTCTTCCTTTGCTGGAATGTGGTTTCTGTCTGTTGTCAGAAAGTCTGAGCTCTCCAAACATCTATTAACATGAAATGTTCAAATGTAATGAAACACAAAGCTGTTGCTCAAACAATAAAGAGTCTGAAAATGCCTTCTTTAGTGAATGCTTTTTTAAGTTCTTTATGCTGCAAAGTTCACAGTGACTTGTCATCTTTTACCCAGGATATCTAAAGCAACTGTTAAAAATGGACAGTTAACAGTTTGATTTTATTCAGTACGGCAACAAAAGGCAAAAGTCAACCCAACTGGATAGAAATGATTCTCATAGCTTACAAAGAGGTTCATCATCACGCTTGATCTTATCCTAAAGAGAGCAAACACTGCATTTATGTTGGGGATCTGGGCCTCCTTAGAATATATAGGTATTAAGTATTTCAATATTATCCATTTAAATACAGTATAGCACTTTGAGTTTTGTTCACGCAAATGAAAAGAGCGCTTATAAATACAATTAATTATTATTATCCATAAAATGTAAATTAAATAAATTCTGACTCCCATTATGGTTTTTGAGCTTTTAAAGTTAGGAGAGACTAACTTTTTTTTGTTTGTAAAGGTAGGCCAAGTCGCCTACCTGCAAACCAAGGTCATTCCCTTCAGACTAATCTGTACTTTGCACTGTACAGTTGTAGAATAATGCAGAGTATTGCCCAGATGAAGAATTACACTGGTTTTGTAGTCTAAGTATAGAAGTTATGTCTCAAAGCTGTGTCAGCACTAATATTTCCACAGGTATCAATGCACTTGTAATATGTTGCAAATTACATAACCACGTAAAACTAACTCTCCTTGAGAGAAATCAGCATATTGTGCCGACCTTTGACCACAGCACATTGCATGATGGGGCAGATAACTGGGCAAATACAGGGTCCATGCATCTGTAGACAGACACAGGACTAGTTGCTTGTGAACTTAAGAGCAAATACAAACGTTTGGGGAATCAATGACACCTTTAGTGTTTTTTGGTCCAAATAAGTTCCAGAAAGGAGAGAATAGGGATATGATTTATTTAGATGCAGACACAATGTTTTATGTTTTTTGTGCTGCATGTCATTTGTCATATCTGTAGTCTGTGTTCTGTTTATGTGCCTGACCATAATCCACTTAGAGTGTTTTTGTTAACATTTCTCTCGGCTGTCAATGATTAACGGATTGCCAGAAAATGCGGTCAATACTATTTTCTTATTGCAAAATAACCCTTTTATCAAAACTGATGTTAAACATTAACAGGTCACTTTAAACAACATAAAAGCAGCCAGAGGGATCACCTCCTTTAAAGTTCAGGGGACTGAGCGACTTTGTATCAACTTACAAAATGAGATTGACCATTGTGCTGATTGTGTCGCTGTTTAGTGGCTTAATTTTGGCCCAGGAAGTTGATAATGCCAGTGGTACACAGCCATGCGATGCTTGTGAAGTAAGTGAGAAACTAAAGGCTATGGAAACCAGACTGAATGACACTGAAACCACGCTGATGGGCACTGATAACAGGCTGAAGGAGAGTGAAAACCAGATTCTTGAAATGAAGAACAAAGGTAAAGTGAAACTTTAGTTCTGATTGATTTAAGGTATAAAGGGAGATGACATAGGGTTAGGGATCATTTATTATCATTAAGGGTTATAGGGCTATTTTCTAAATATTGTCAGAGGTTTGCCATAAAATACATGAATAAAACATGATAGAATATAATATAGATATAGATATAGAATCGGAGGGATTAGTAAATCTGCTGCTGTTGGGTCTTTATCTTTCAATGTGAAACAAGGAAGTGCAGCTTCAAAGGCCATGACTGGGTCCTTTTAAAATCTTCAACCCTTCTTATAATGAACCTATTCCTTATATATCATTAGGATGGTTATTTGACATAATATATAATTATTATACATTGGATTTCAACTTACACCTGGTATTTGATTTCAGTTTTGAGGGAGACTAAACAAATTGAGTTCTGTTTTTTTAACAAACACTAACTTCCTTACTTAAATATTCTCCTTCTCCCGCTCTAGAAAGCATGATCACCACTGCCCTGAGCCTCCTCACGATGGCTTTTGCCTTTGTTCATGCAAACAATCCACCTTGCCGGACGAGAAGGAATAACAATGCGTACAACAGCTTTTCTAGAAAACACATCCTTCGGGATGAATTTGACTACATGAACTACAATGAATGGGAAAGGTGAGTTAGGTCTTATGACTTATGTGAGTTCAAGTCAGTGTGTTAATTTAATATGGTTTTTAATAAGATCAAGATTCATCATGTAAAGTGAGTGAATTGTTTTATAACACAACTGCTTTATGAACATGCCTTGTGTTGTACTTTGTCCACGGCATTTACTTTGCAATGATCTCGTTGTGCAGATACATCAGGAACCATGGACTCACCGACAGACCTCTGCAGTCCTTCTTCACGAGCGGGGATGACGAAAGAGTCACGGACATCTGTAATGGCAAAGGACAACCGTTAAAAAGTAGTAGATACCGAGCTAACTTATGTATCAGTCACAGAACATTTCCGGTATTTCATGTCAAATTGGATCAAAATAACAGGGTTACAAATGTAGATCATGCCATACAATTTGTGGTTTTGGCTTGTGATGTTGTGGAAAACCAATGCCTTCCCGTTCATTATGAGAAGTACACCAACCAATTGCCAAACCGGTCAGTTGCACCCTGTCAACCTTAGTAGAGTAGAAACGTTTTTTGCTTACATGAAAACATGTTATATTGGATATCTGTTACATATTTGAGCCTGGTTATTATAACAAGTTGTTACATTAAGGAGATGACTTGTGATAACCGTATCATATTAAACTTATGTTACTGATAATTACATTCAGTTATTCTCAAGTCAGAAACGTTACACTTGTGTGTTCATTTACTGTCTATCATTACTACAGAAGCCTATGTCAAAAAGGTATTTACAATTAGGAACATTATTAACATATATGCTGCACTTATAAATGGATATACATTTACAATACACAGACGCTACTTCTTTCTTTGGGCCTTATGTTTAATGTTGTATTTCTTTATGTGCCAAGATCCTTTAACCTGTTAAGCACCAAGCCTGTTTTTCATGTTTCAGGCTCGAAAATGACATGCCCAAAACAAATGACTACAACTTAACTTCTAAAAGGGTTATATGAATAATTTCTTTTATCAAAGCAAGGCTACATCTGTGAGTTGGATGTAGAAGTGTCAGAATCAATATAGATGTTTTTTATTTTAAAGAAAATTCAGATTTTACATAGTAAAAAACTGTAAATTATAGTGTCCGTCCAAATATTATTGTTTACAGATAGTGAAAACTACCCTTGGATGATGGGTTAGTGACTAAAAGCTTTAGCAATCCAAAGTACAACATATAATAAGTACCCTGTATCAAGATTGATGCAAAACAAGTGACATTTGACCTTTTTAGAGAGGTTTAGCCAAAACCACCCCACCTCTGAGGTGATTTGGGTGAAAATGTTTTTTTTTCCATATCTCTGGGCCCCCTTGGTCGATTTGGATGGTTGACACCTCTTTCTGACCGTTAGAGCCAATAGAATCGAAGGGGGAGTCCCCCACACACACACGTTGTGAAGAGAAGAGGTGGAGGCTTCGCGCTAGAGATGGCAAATCCGGATCCTTTTACGGACTCAGGGTCTTCTGAGTCAGTCATTGAAGAGATCCGGATCATACGAGTCATTTGAGTCATATGAGTCAGCATCACCAAGACCGTAGAAATCCTATCGGTGAAACCGAAAAGTTGTTGCATTTCACGAGCATATTAAACTGACGTTATATTAACCTCCGCTACACAGTGTATTTTGCTTTAATAAAAAATGTTGATCACAAAAAAAAGGGTTATTTTGCGATTTGGCAAATCTGAGTCTGCTGTTGACTCGTGCATGAGGACGAGTCTGCTGGATCTCTGGATCTGCTGCTATATGGCTACGGCTCTGAGTCCGCACGAGTCTGCTGTGTTTTGCACAGTGAGTCAGGATTTGCGAATCTGAGTCTGTGAATTTCCGCTGACTAACTCGTAGGCTACTGGTCTCTCTCGATCATTGACCTGGATTCACGGATCCCGCGATTTTGATTAAGTCCATTATGTTTCCGGCTCTAAATGAAGTTTCAGTGTAGACTTCTAACAAAATTGTCATGTTGTGCAACAATGACAAATGATAGAAAATTGCAAAACAGTTAGAATATATAAAATGTCTTAATTATACAATTATTATTATTAAACATATAATTATATCTAATCATATGCCCCCCATATTTTCTCATGGACTGCGTAATCATTGCAATACTGGTGTTTGTATGTGTTAAATGTGTGTAAAGTGGTGTCTTTTGCCTTAATAAAACATATTGATCACAAAAAAAAGGTCATTTTGCGATTTAGCGAATCTGAGTCTGCTGTTGACTCGTGCATGACGACGAGTCTGCTGGATCTCTGGATCTGCTGCTATACAGTTACGGCTCTGAGTCCGCACGAGTCTGCTATGTTTTGCACAGTGAGTCAGGATTTGCGAATCTGCGAATCTGCGAATCTGCGAGTCTGCTGTTGACTCGTGCATAATATAGCCGCGGGAGCCGGGTGCTGGAGGAGGGGCTATGCTCGTGCACATGACGAGTATGGATCTCTGGATCTGCTATGCTATTACGGTTAGGAGCCGTCGGCTCCTCTGAGTCCCCACGAGTCTGCAGGAAGTTTCACTGATCCGTGTCCCCTCCCCTGAGCCAAACGATCACTTCTGGCAGCTATCCTACTTGCTAAAGGGTGGGCAGATGGACTGGGGTACGTTGTAATGTGATTTTACATGTTATAAAGAGAGTAGCGAGTGACGCAATTTATAGTTTTAATTTGTACGTCACACCAAGTGTGGGACTCAAAGGACTCGGGTTAATGGAGAGGGGAGACTCGTCACGACCAGCTCATTTCTAGGATCCGGGTTAATGATCCGGATGAATCAGGACTCGCCCATCTCTACTTCGCGCATGTAATTTTGCAGCAGGGTGGACCGATCTCTCGCTCTGACATTTGGAAACGAAAAAGCAGTTTTATTGCTTATGGATTATCAGAAATCATTTCAAAGAGGACACAGACACATTGGATTAACCCCTGGATTAACTGCAGCATCGTTTTTTTATCGTTTTAATGCCATTGAAGACCAGTTTTGAACAAAGTAAGCCATGTTAGCGTTTCTAGCTACCTAGCTCCACATGTTATGATGTACGCTTTCGTTTATAGCGTCGCAAATGTTTATCACTGAGTGTTGAGGTGGGCACCCCCAGATTTTGTGTCTCCAGGAGATGCAAAACGTGGGGTTGGCTGTGCATCTAGGATAAGTAATAAGGGAGTTATGAGTGAGTTTAGGTGCAGAGATAGGTTACATTTTTTCGCTCGTGGATAATTCAGAGGCTGAGTGCTAGCATTGTGGGGTTTTTTTGGAGAAAAAAAATTAAAAAGATCAGTTAGCTGAGTTTCTTCCCGTTACATGGATATAAAACATTCATAGTTTATTAAATATTAAGATTCCTTAGACGTTGTTTCCTGCAAATGACGCGTTTATCCGCCCGGTACCAGGGGGGGGGGCGGTCCGTAACAGGTTAAGGGACAGTGTCCAGTGAATCTCTATGTGATACAACTCGAGCCACCTTTGCAAGTTTGAGATGACGCAGGTGAGTTTTGAATACTGTAATGCAAATAGGTTCGCTAGTATCAAAGTAGCACTTCTTGACATTTGAATAAATGGGACCTTCTCCACGTCTTTATTTCTCGCTCCATGTGTCTTCCACTGATGCATTATCAGGGAGGTTAGACATCTAAGTTGACAGGTTGTTGCAATGAGATGGAGCTTTGAATTGAAAGGCACAACACTCGATATAATATATATAATGCTTGGCATTGGCAGAGGAAATTTGTCCCATTTTTCATGGGCGCAACCCACATACTCAGCTCTGCTGCTCATCCCACAAATGCTTGTTCCTCACAAATGTGACACCATTTGAAAGGTAAATAAACAGTCTTTCCAATGGCATAAGATGTATTGCCAAGAAGCATTGCTACAACAAAGAAATAATCGACCAAATACAGATTTCCTTACTTTTTTCGTTAAGTTTATTAAGATATTAAGGAAAAAGAAAACAAAATATTCCCTGTCAACTTTGCAGCATAATGAATTTAATATAGCAATGATTGAAGAAGGCATTTTTACATAGTAAAAAACTGTAAATGATAGTGTCCGTCCAAAAATTATTTTTTTATTTTATTTTTTACTAAATAATAAGGTTTTGTGAGTGATTTTCGGTGCAGTAATCTGTTAGCATTTTTCGGTCGTTGCTAATTCAGAGGCTCAGTGTTAGCATTGTGGGTTTTCTTTCGAAAAACAAATTTAAATGATCAGTTAGATGAGTGTCTTCCCGTTACATGGATATAAAACATTCATAGTTTATTAAATGAACATGCCCTCAGACACTGTTTCCTGCAAGATGTTGTGGCAGTGCCCCGGTACCGGGGTCTCTCGGGCTTAACAGGTTAAGACATGTTGAATAAGGGAATTAAATACATAACTTGATCATCAGTAGACAGAAACATGTAAGAGACTCATGATGATAAAATGATTTAACAGATGAGAAGTAAAAAGAGTGAAAACACAATGTTTATGTTATGAAATATAGATATGTGGTGAAATGAAACCTGCTACATTAGCCTTTAGAGGAAAATACATTAACACATTGTTAAGGATACCTCGAGAAAAAATATTTGTCTCTTTCTTTTCTCATGGTCTCTCCTGGTGTTATTACTGAAGCTTAATGTGCATATTTTAAATAACCTATACATTAATGAACCAGTGGCCAGTCATATACTGTAAGCATAGCACCGGTGATGATTGTAACAACATATGGATGGACAACATCTGATTATAAGTGCAATTTTGTAAGGAATATCCAATTGGGCATATGTTAATAAAAAGGCCTAATAGTACATGACAATGGGTTCTGAAGTAATGGTAGACAGTAAATGAAGAAAGTCTGCCATCAAGTGTTGACCAAAGATGTCACAGGTGCCACAGATGGAAACCCATAAGCATTACTTATTGTGTGTGAGGAAATACCAGGTGTGTATGTCACATGGTGAAGTATTTTAATTATATTGCTTGGTTTTTGTGTGTTTCATACTTTTTATTTTGTGCTTTTATTCTGAAGTATTTGCACTGTTGATATTTATCTGGTTTTACTTTTAAGCATGAATTTATTTATTTAACCTACTTCCACCATGATGACTGGGACGATTAGCAGCACCTGCCAATCATGGCCGACCTATACAGAGAACACAGGAGAGCAGGAGCACAAAGGAAGAAGACAGGAGGAGACGCAGCCGAGCAGACAGAAAATATCAAGAGACAAACGGCAGTCCAGAGTGTGAAGCCAAGGACAGAAGAGGGCAGAGTTTAGAGCCCTTATTTCGTGAGTAACTACTGTCCAACGAAAGACCTGATTTGTCCTTAAAAGACAAGTGACTGCTGTTTGTCTGTTTTTAGAGTGGGAGCCAAGCTGGAGGAGCGGGCGGTGTGCAGAAGTGTTCCCCCCTCATTGTGTGCCTGGATTTTAAAGAACTTTTAAGCCCTTTTAGCTTGTGAAATTGTTTTAATTGTATTTTAAGTAGTTTTAGTTTTTAGTCAAGTTTCTATGTCCAATAATAGATTATTTCAACCTTTTAAACTTGAGTAGTTTGGCTCTTGATTGCCCATCACAATCTCTCCCCGATTTAGAAAAACCCTTTCTCTCTTCCTACATTTCCACCCTTCCCCCCTCCTTTACATATATACAGTGTATGTCACATGCTGACACTTTTCTTCTTTTTTTCCAAATATTTCTCACTCACTTCTAGTATTGTAGAAGTGTAAATTCCAATAGCAAACTTATTTACCTTGCTTATAAAAGAGTGCCTCTGCAACTTCACAGCAACAGAGCAGGAAATCATAATCTGAAACCATAATCTTTGTAAATATTCAAGAACAAGTTCCTCTCAAGCAGAAAAGCGTCAGTTCCTCACAAGAACTTGAACCTGGGGTCCTTGCATTAAACCTCATTTGCTGGAATGTGGTTTGTGCCTGTTGTGGTAAAAACTGTTAACCAAAACGTCCATGAGCGATAACATGTACCCGGTGCTTTGGGGGCCAACTTCATCTCCTTTATCTCAAGCCTTTCTCTCTGCAGCCGGTTGAGAAATATACCGTCCATGTCATCTTTGACAATAATGTTATATAATTTTGGTTATACATTTTTATTTTGAGTCGCCCTTAGTTACCTGTTGTCTTTCATTTCTCACACCCTTTCAGTCTTTTGAATTGCCATGTTGTTGAAAGGTGCAATACATATACATCTGTTTAGTGAGATCAATGTAATACTGAAACATGTTCAATCTTTGACCCCATATTAATGATAACAACATACATTTTCCAGAACATATATTAGTATTTCCTTATTTTCTATTACCTGGATAATAAAGCTGATTGGTTACCTGGCAGAATATGAAGTAAATACTATTTCCTCATTGCAACATGAGCCTTGTTTCAAAGGGGATTTAAATAATTAACACGTCATCATTTAAAAAATATGTAAAAGCAGCCAGACGAATCATATTAAAAAAAGGAAATTGTAACCATTCGTCTTTAGTCTTACATCTAAAATATGAAAATATTATTTTCATATTTTTTTAACAATAACCAAGTTTAAGGCTTGACAAATAGTCAAATAGTTTTTACTTTCTCTGTTGTACTTACATTTGCCTTAACACTAAAACAACAAGAATGAGCTGAAAGTTGGAAAACTACAAAATTCAGAGGTAGAAATGTTTCTGTATCGCACAAAAATACATATTACTCATGAAAATATTGATTGATGCAGCTTCAAGCCATTTATTTGACAATATTTAAAGCAACACAAACAGGATTTGAATACAGCTTCACAAACATTTTCAGTAACAGAGAAAGTACACACAATTGTGGGGAATATTAAACTCTTAGAAAAGAAACTTTTGATGGTGCTTGGTAGATCCTTTGATATGTGACCTTTTTGGGTCAAATAACGCTTAGTCTAGTTTGACAGATTTTCACAGACTGACAATTATCTGAATTGACACATCACAAAAGATGATAACCAACAGTTTAATATACACAATCAACCAATTTACTTTGAGGTAAGATGACGATAAACTTTCAACAAACAGGTGTGTGTACAGTTTTCTGATTAAATTGTTAATGCCATGTAGCCACAAGTTATAATGACCGAGGTCAATAAGTAACAGGTGTTATAATGCAGCATAAGAACATCATAACATGTTTTCGTGTAAGCAAAAGAGGCCTAATTAAGCTAAGCTTGACAGAGGTTTAGAACTGGAATCCAATGTCTTCTAACCCCTCTGTCGTTAGAGTTTAACCCTGTCGTTAAACTCTAACGACAGGGTTGACCTTTCCAGTCTAGCCTGATATTCTCCGTCCGATCAAAATGGACAGGAAGGCATAGGTTATTAACATTCTGACAGCCCACAATCCCATAGAGTTGTTTTCGGGTTAGATGTGTAACCCTGCAGGTGCTGGTGTCGACTTGGACCTTGTAAAGGGTGATGGGTGAGTTACTGGTACATATAGTCATTTGGTTATTCGGATTGACTTCACTACATGTATAGACCGTATGGTTTTCATAGCCTTGACAGATCTTTTTGACAGTGTCTTTCAACATGAAGGTCTGACTTGGTCTCCGGCAGAGGCAATACTTCTCTATGTACCTGTATAAACAAGATTTATTGTTTCACTGAAGAGTAAATAGCATTGATAAAGTCATTGACATAATCAGTAGTGTGGTACCTAAATGAAACAGTCCTGCCTTTAAATGTAGTGAATATGAATCTCCATCTTATGCAAATGCATTTCTAAATAAACATATTGACTTAACCATTTAACTCACCTTTCCCAGTCAGCCTTATCTGTTTTGTCACCAATGCTCTCCTGAAGGACGTGTTTGCAAAGAAATCTGTCGTGCGGATCTTGTACCATTTCACAATATGAAGGAGTTAAACCATCAACAAGGGCAAGAGTGGCCATGAAGATGATAAAGACAGCGATGTTCATCTTTTCTAGAGCGGGAGAATGATAAATATATAAGTAAGAAAGGTTTTAGTTGTTAATGTTTCAACATACAATAATGTATTAATGTGTAAAAAAAAGCGTGTGATAGAAGTTTCAAATTTGAATTTTCTTTCTTTTTTACCTTTAAATTAAAATTAAAATTAAAACATTCTTCAATATGTTTTCAAATGTAACTATATAACATGTCTATAACCCTAAAACAACACATGTCATACACAGGTGCATCTCCACAGCGCCTATTATCTATGTAACACAAATCACAATATCAGCAAGTTTAATATTAACTCTACTATTAGCTTATTTTGGTCTTTTGCCACTAATCTTGCACCATACCACAATACATTTTCAGCCTCTTAGACGTTAGAAGACGAAGCAAGTATTTCAATAGTCCTAGCAACATTATTTAGGAAACCTGCAACAAGAAGAACAAGAGATCGACTCTAAGCTCCAGGAACAGTATACGTATATTAACCAAACCCATAAACATTTGCATTCATTCAGACAGCCTCGAAAGTTTTAGCACCATAGTTTGTCATTGTAGTATCAAAGATTAAAATCAATGATTATGAGTTACATGATAAACTACATCCTCCTTCCTTGTTGCCTGACTAGAAAAAAACAAAGTGTAATGCCAAGAAAGAAAAGTGATGAGTAAAAGATAAATTATTGTTGACTTGATCATTTGTTATATCCTCATTCCTTGTTGCTTGGCCAGAAAATTCCAGTGTAGCTCCAGTCAATAATTTAGAAGAAAACAAAGGCTTCTGCCAAGAAAGCGAGGTGTCAGAGGTGATAGTTAAAGCTCCCATGTCATGCTTTTCCGGTTATTACCCGTCCCCTTGTGTGTTATGAAGGTTTTTATGCATGTAAACGGTGTGCAGAGTCAAAACCCTCAAAGTACACCCTGTAGCGAGTAAAACTCTAACACAGAAAATACCTCCCCAAAACGCCTCGTTGGAGATACGTCACTGCCCATTTGAGTCTTCCATTTAGTTCCGGGTACCGCCTGATGTCATGCGGTACCCGGAACGAAATGGACCAATCCCGAAGAGCTATGGCCACACCAGCAGCGGCGTGTTCCTCCTCCAGAGGTTCGAAGAACCGGCATTTCACAGACGAAAGCTTCCAAAACATTGCCCAGTTTGAGGCCGGATATGCACAGCTTGTTTGGACCGTTTGGAGCAGGGGAAGATCTGGGTATACAACCTGTAAGTTTGCATTGTTATTTGTGTATTTATCAAACAAGACTGTTTAAATGTGTAAACTGTGTTGGACTGCTAAGCCATTGACACAGTGCTAACTGTGCTAACTAAGTTGCTAGAGTTTCCATATATCAACTCTAATATCAGCAGATGGCCTTGCATACATGTATCTCATAGCAGGAGAATGTCTGCATTCACACACAAAATACCTATTGACAGTATACTCCGGGTGATTTGCCGGTCAGTCGCGAAACTTAATTACATTATAGCTGGCGTAGCGATCTAACACACGGAGCTAGAGCTAGTTTTGGTCGGAAAAACATTTTTGTGATGCTACGTTGCTAGCGTTTAAATATATCAACTACAATGTCAGCAGATGGCCTTACATGTTTGTCATGGCAGGAGAATGTCTGCAGTCACACACACGGAATACTCATACAGTATATTGTACTGTGATTTACCGTACATTGTGACCGTACATATACTGCATGTAGCTAACGAGGCTAGCTGTATGCTAGCGCAAAACAATGTATTCATGCAAGTTACATTGTATGGTAGCAGAATACCCGTATACGATTGCAATTATAAACACGTTATTGCTAGCCTAATATGAACCACTAGCTTTTGTTCATAGTAGTTTTATTACACTGCATTATAGTTGCCTTTCCTCCAAGCTAACGTTCATATCGTGTTAGCTACCAAGGTAAACAAAGCTAGGTTAGCATATTAGCAGGCAAGCTGTTCATTACACAACTACTACTAACGAATCTAAAACAACTAAGTTTCTCTAATATTTTGTGATTTGCATTTGATTTCGTCCAGCCAGATCCTGGCGGACAATCCATGACGGGGAAGGGACTTCGACTACTACTGAGGGCTCGTGCTAAAAGGCACCGCACCGACTGGTCAAGATGCGAGGAGGAGGAATGAATGATATACCGTGTGTATATATGTATATTTATGTTCATTTTGTACATTTCTAAAAATAAAGTTTAATGGAAATACTTAGTAGGCCTATCCTTTCTTCCCTGAATTCATATATAGCAAACCATGATTTGATTTCTCATCAAACAGTAGTAGTTTATAACGGGTAAAAATAACTTACTCTTTGTTATGAGAGTAGCTCGTAGGCCACAACGGAAAGACAAGGAGACATACACGAGTTTACAAAACCACGGCACATTTATTGTGGTAAATGCAGAGATAGGTGGTTGAGAGGATCGCAGAGTTAGTCTTCCTGCAGCCGCTTTGGAGAGAGACTGTGTCCGGAGGTGTCCGTGATCGTGCTGATTAGCCTCTTCAGCTCCACCCCATCGTAAGACAAAGGCCCTGGGGCCGTCACACTCTTCTATAACAACAGTTAAAAATATATATGTATATAAAATATACCGCTGTACCGACGCCATGATAAGACTGATGTTACGCTGAGAGCAGCCGGGAAAAGCACTGACATGGGCGCAGCCTCTCTGGTGGTTGACTAATCAGAACGAGTGGCCGAGCTGACCAATCGGAGCACACTAGGCTCACAGGGAGGGGGGGGCAAGAGCTCCAACGAGTCGTTTAGTGGAGAAAGTGAATACTGCTGAATACACATGCTTGACAGAGATGCTGTATGCGAAACCAATGTGAGTTTGGAAAATTGCACAGTATAAATCTATTTTAGTATACCTCAACAATGTAATTATGATCAGTGGAAATGGCCATGACATGGGCCCTTTAAAAAATGAATATTTCACTGCTATCCTCCAAACAAGGAGGGGGCAGCATTTCACCTCTAATTGGGGGTCCTTACAATCTAAATGTACAATCATCAGACCAAAGTTGACCAACCTGCTGTGACTCAAAGCTTGCTATCTAATAATATTCATGCAGGCCTTTAGTTTATGTTACCTTTGTGTGTGTGTGCCACTAAACAGGGCTGTGTGTCAAAGATCACGATTCTGAGTCAGATCATTCATTATATCCTCATTCCTTGTTGGTTGTCTGGAAATCCAGCGGAAGTCCAATGAATTACTAAGACGCAAACAAAGTGTGATGCCAAGATAAATTAGGTGTCAGAGGATCTTTGCGTGGGCCTAAAGTTTACATTAGACATTTCTGTGTTTGTGCAACTAACCAGAGACTGTAAGATCCGTGTGCTTTGATCGCAGGTTTATTGGACCAAATTCAAGGACGAAGAATCACAAGGATCAAAAAGACCCAATACTCTTTTTCAACCCTTTGAATTTACTCCAATAAACTAACTGTCAATAAGCACATGGACCCTGGATGTAAGGTGATTGAAAACCTCTCGGGGCAGCTCTGGAACAAGTGGTATTACAAGACAGGATTTGCCAGCCTAGTCAGTTAAGATGCTAATTTCAGTAGATATCTCTACAAAGCAATACGTAGACATCTATGACATAACATCAAAACTGTTACTTGATTACTCAAATGTGAGCATCTATGACTGAAACGTAATAAACGACCTTGTTGGGATAAATAATCTACACATATACATATATCCGGTAAAAAATAAATAAAATATATTAATGTATTATTTAGTACTTGACTTTAAAATCAACATAGGCAGTTCCTTCTATTGTAAATTATTTCGGCTATCACTACTCATGTCATTGTTTCTTATGAAAGCATTGAAAGGGATTCACTTTATTTCTTGGTGCTCTGCGTCTGCCTTTGAAACACATGCACCGTTGCAGGGTTACTTTGAAAACAGGTAATATTTGAAACATAATTCTGTTAATCTTTCTCTAGGATGTCAGTAATTAACTGATTGCTAGAACACGCTGTTAATAGGGTTTTCTTATTGCAAAACAACTTAGTTTCAAAGCTGATTTTAAACATTAACAGGTTTCTAGACAATATAAAAGCAGTCAGAGGGATCACATCATTCAGAGTTCAGGACTGAGCGACTTTGTATCAACTTGAAGATGAGTTTGACCATTTTACTGATTGTGTCGCTGTTTTGCGGCCTGATTTTAGCCCAGGATGATGGTAATACTACTATATTAGATTATCCTGAAACAGAGGAACGCTATCCTGACATGTGCAACCTCCTGAGAGAGTTTGGTGCAGTAAGTGAGAAATTAAGAGTTATGGAGACCAGGATGAAAGATAGTGAAACAAGGCTCATGGACACTGAAACCCTGCTGAAAGACACCAAAACGAGAGTGATGGACACTGAAACCCAGCTGAACGACACCAAAACGAGAGTGATGGACACTGAAACCCAGCTGAACGACACCGAAACGAGAGTGATGGACACTGAAACCCAGCTGAACGACACCAAAACGAGAGTGATGGACACTGAAACCCAGCTGAACGACACCAAAACGAGAGTGATGGTGACTGAAACCCAGCTGAATGACACCGAAACGAGACTGATGGACACTGAAACCCAGCTGAAAGACACCGAAACGAGAGTGATGGACACTGAAACCCAGCTGAAAGACACCGAAACGAGACTGATGGACACTGAAACCCAGCTGAAAGACACCGAAACGAGACTGATGGACACTGAAACCCAGCTGAATGACACCAAAACGAGAGTGATGGACACTGAAACCCAGCTGAAAGACACCAAAACGAGAGTGATGGACACTGAAACCCAGCTGAAAGACACCGAAACGAGAGTGATGGACACTGAAACCCAGCTGAAAGACACCAAAACGAGACTGATGGACACTGAAACCCAGCTGAAAGACACCAAAACGAGACTGAAGAAGAGTGAAACCCAGATTCTTGAACTGAACAAAGGTAAAGTCAATTAAAAAAATAAGTAAATACTGCACAAAATAATAATTACAATAATAATAATATGGTTACACTGTTTTGCTTTGTACAGAAAAGAAGACGGTCGTATTCAGTGCAGCAACAGGAGGAGGAGAAAAAAAGATTGGACCCTTCAGCACTGACACAACTTTAATCTACATAAAGGAGATCACAAACATTGGAGCCGCCTACAGTCCATACACAGGTAAAACTCAGTCGTCTGCATGCTGCTAAATTCCACCTGATATGCTTAAACAAGGACAAAAAAAACAAAACCCTTCTTCTATCCTGTTTGATAAAACAGAGGTCTAAGAATGTGCTGAAACTGTACTAACCATTAACTTGTTTTTGGTGTATTTGGTTGGTAGGCAAAACAATTAAGTGCTTAAGACCACTAAAGGTTTGTTATTTGACTTTTTTATCAAAATAAATGTGACCAACACTCTGTTGTTTCCACAGGTATCTTTGTTGCCCCGGTTGCAGGTGTTTATTACTTTACCATCTTCTATCATAATGGAGGGGGCTATGGCAACATCTTAAAGCTCTACAAGAACAGTGAGTTAGTGCTCCTGACCCATGATTACGGTTCATACTACTACAATAATGGAGGAAACGCAGTGTTCCTGCAGCTGGAGCAAGGAGACCAGGTGTATGTGCGCCTGGTTGCGAAATCCTATGTTTCGGGAACAGACTATCATACAACATTCAGTGGGTTTTTAGTCACTGAAATGTGAGAATCTGTATCTCTGTCGTCATTCCTGCTTGAGGGGGACTGAAAAAGATCTGAGCTCTCTATAAACTGAATATCTATCACCATGACATGTTAAAATGTAATGAAACAAAAAACTGTTGCTCATAGAATCATAAAATCAAGACTAAAAATGTCTTCTTCAATCATTGCTTTATTAAACTCATTATGCTGCAAAGTTGAAAGTGAGTTTCTTGTTTTCTGTTTCTTGAATATCTTAATATATTGAGTGTTGTGCATTTCAATTCAAAGCTCCATCTCATTGCAACAACTTCTCAACTTAGATGTCTAACCTGCCTGATAATGCATCAATGGAAGACACATGGAGCGAGAAATGAAGACGTGGAGAAGGTCCCATTTATTCAAATGTCAAGAAGTGCTACTTTGATACTAGCGAACCTATTTGTATTACAGTATTCAAAACTCACCTGCTTCATCTCAAACTTGCAAAGGTGGCTCGAGTTGTATCAGATAGAGATTCACTGGACTCTGTCCCTTAAAGGATCTTGGTACATAAAGAAATACAGCGTCTCTCCTGGTGTTTTTACTGAAGCTTATTACGCCGATTTTAAATCACCTATACATTAAAGGTGGGGTAGGTAATTTTGGAGAAACCAGCTCGAGTGCGCTAGAATTTGAAAATACACAGCTGGAAAAAATCTGCCACTTCCTTACAGAGCCCCTCCTCCAACACACACGAACGTGCACATGACCAATGAGGGCACGAGATAAGTTTGTGCACAGATGGAAGGCTGACAGGCAGGTAGGCCATCCAGTTATTTTAGCCGGGCCGGCTAAAATGATTGGTCGTGCTTTTTACAGTACTACGGCTTCCACAGATGACATTTTTTCATGGATTTTTTGTCAAAGCATTTAAGATATTCATTGCTATCGGGATGTTAAGAGCATTCCATGGAATATAACAAAAAGTGTATCTCGAGCCGGTTTCTCAAACTTACCTACCCCACCTTTAATGAAGCAGTGTCCTGCCATATAAGCATATCATTAGCATATAATCATTATTTAGGGGACCAGTGTTGCTTGTAACAAAATATAGATACAATACAATACAGCTTTATTTACTGTACAAAGCACTTTAAAACCTCCAGACCAAAGTAGTGTACAGTCAAATAAGCAAACAAAAACATATACAAAGTCACACAGCACAGCTCACACTCCATAAAACAAGTACAAGTAAAAACAATAGACAATTTAAAGCAATAAAAGCAACAATCTAAAAGAGCTTCGACCTGGGCACATTCAGGAGCAGTTGATCAGCTGACCTGAGAGGGCGTTTGGGCGTGTTGGGGTGTAGCAGCTCAGAACGATATGGTGGGGTCATGCCATTTAGGGATTTAAAAGTAAATAAAAGGATTTTGAAATGAATCCTAAAATGTATTAGCCAATACAATACTGCAGCCAATGGAGCGAAGCCAAAATGGGGGAAATGTGGTCATATTTCCGTGTGCAAGTTAAAAGCCTTGCTGCTGCATTTGCATTGATGGACAGTATCCATTCAACCTTAAACCTAAAACAATCTTTGTACAACCTTAAACATAAGGCCCAAAGACGAAAAAATACAGAATCAAAAATCAAAGTCTCAGTTTGTTTAAGACCACGCAGAACGCTTCAACTGTAGATCCAGAAAGCCACACACACGTTTCTCCACACTGTGTGTATTTAACTTGCTGTGAAGTGTACATCAAACTCGCACTGCAAAAAAAAAGAATCTTTACATCCAAATATCAGTTTGTGTATTGTAAATGTATATCCATTTATAAGTGCAGCATACAGTATGTTAATAATGTTCCTAATTGTAAATACCTTTTTAACATAGGCTTCTGTAGTAATGATAGACAGTAAATGAAGAAAGTCTGTCATCAAGTGTTGACCAACACACACACAGGTGCCACAGATGGAAAACCCAAGCAGTACCTATTTTGTATTAGAGAAATAAGCTGTAGTTACGTTTCATACTGACACTTTGCAAATATTGCTCACTTGTAGTGTATCACCCATAGCACATTAGAATACTCCATTAGCAACCGTATTTACAAAGCTTTAGAAAGAGGTACTCTGCACCTTAACAGCAACAGAGAAGGAAATCATTACCTGTTATCATCCACAGTTGGAATTTTAGAAATACCATACCATAGAAATGTCCAAACAAATACAATAGAAACTCTAAAGACTTGCAAGGGTGGGGAATATCTTTTAATAGCACAAAAGCACATAATTCAATGTTAAAATAAAACATATTGATTAATGCAGCTTCAATTAATTAATTTGACACATATACAAAGCAACACTTCAGGATTTGATTACATTTTCACAAAGATTTTGTAGTAAAATGTAACAAAAAACACGAGTTTAAGAGTTTTTTACACAATAACAATACTATGAATTTAACGCATCACAGAAAAGTATAACCAACAGTTCAATAAAGAGAGAAACCAATTCACTTTGACATCATGTGACCATTTAGTTTCAACAAACACACAAGTGTAACGTTTCTGACTTGAGAATAACTGAATGTAATTATCAGTAAATATGTTTAATATGATACGTTTATCACAAGTCATCTCCTTAATGTAACAACTTGTTATAATAACCAGGCTCAAATATGTAACAGATATCCAAAATAACATGTTTTCATGTAAGAAAAAAACGTTTCTTCTCTACCGAGGTTGACAGGGTGCAACTGACCGGTTTGGCACTTGTCTGGTGTACCTCTCAAAATGAACAGGAAGGCATCGGTTTACCACAACATCACAAGCCAAAACCACAAATTGTGTCTCATAATATAAATTTGTAACCCTGTTATTTTGATTCAATGTGACATGATATACCAGAAATCTTGTGTACATACATAAGTTAGCTCGGTATCTACTACTTTCTAGCGGTTGTCCTTTGCCATTACAGATGTCCGTGACTCTTTCCTCATCCCCGCTCCTGAAGAAGGACTGCAGAGGTCTGTCGGTGAGTCCATGGTTCTCGATGTATCTGCACAACGAGATCATTGCCTTCTAGTTAGAGCGGAGCACGACTCCTGACTTTTCCCTGTGTTTTTTTTTATATATATCTGTTGTAATTTATTGTCTTTTATTGTGATTGTAGTAATGTGTTTTTATTACATGTACAGCACTTTGGCTCGACCAAAAATCGCTTTTAAATGTGCTTTATAAATAAAACTTGATTTGATTTGATTTGATTTGATTGCAAAGTAAATGCCGTGGACAAAGTACAACACAAGGCATGTTCATAAAGCAGTTGCGTTATAAAACAATTCTCACTGTACATGATATTAATATGAATCTTGATCTTATTAAAAACCATATTAAATTAACACACTGACTTGAACTCACATAAGTCATAAGACCTAACTCACCTTTCCCATTCATTGTAGTTCCTTCTGTCAAATCGGTCCCGAAGGATGTGTTTTCTAGAAAAGCTGTTGTACGCATTGTTATTCCTTATCGTCCGGCAAGGTGGATTGATCGCAACAAAGGCAAAAGCAATCGTGAGGAGGATCAGGGCAGTGGTGGTCATGCTTTCTAGAGCGGGAGAAGGAGAATATTTGAGTAAGGAAGTTAGTGTTTGTTTGTTTGTCAAAAAAACAGAACTCAATTTGTTTAGTCTCCCTCAAAACTGAAATCAAATACCAGGTGTAAGTTGAAATCCAATGTATAATAAATGATATATTATGCCAAATAACCATCCAAATGAAATATAAGGAATAGGTTCATTATAAGAAGGGTTGAAGATTTTAAAAGGACCCAGTCATGGCCTTTGAAGCTGCACTTCCTTGTTTCGCATTGAAAGATAAAGACCCAACAGCAGCAGATTTACTAATCCCTCCGATTCTATATCTATATCTATATCTATATCTCTATCTATATCTATATTCTATTCTATCATGTTTTATTTATGTATTTTTTAACAAAACTCTGAAAATATCTAGAGAATAGCCCTATAACCCTTAATAATAACAAATGATCCCTAACCCTATGTCATCTCACTTTATACCTTAAGACATGTTGAATAAGGAAATTAAATACATAACTTGATCATCAGTAGACAGACACATTTAAGAGACTCATGATGATAAAATTATTTAACAAATGAGAAGTAAAAAGAGTGAAAACAAAATGTTTATGTTACATTATATATAGATATGTGGTGAAATGAAACCTGCTTCATTTGCTTTTAGAGGAAAATACATTACCACATTGTTAAGGATACCTAGAGAAAAACATATTTGTCTCTTTCTTTTCTCATGGTCTCTCCTGGTGTTATTACTGAAGCTTAATGTTGATTTTAAATAACCTATACATTAATGAACCAGTGGCCAGTCATATACTGTAAGCATAGTACCGGTGATGATTGTAACAAAATCTGGATGGACAACATCTGATTATAAGTGCAATTTTGTAAGGAATATCCAATTGGGCATATGTTAATAAAAAGGCCTAATAGTACATGACAATGGGTTCTGAAGTAATGGTAGACAGTAAATGAAGAAAGTCTGCCATCAAGTGTTGACCAAAGATGTCACAGGTGCCACAGATGGAAACCCATAAGCATTACTTATTGTGTGTGAGGAAATACCAGGTGTGTATGTCACATGGCGAAGTATTTTAATTATATTGCTTGGTTTTTGTGTGTTTCATACTTTTTATTATGATTTTATTGTGTTTTTTTATTTTTGAAGTGTTGACACTGTTGAAGTTTATCTGGTTTTACTTTTAAGCATGCTTTTATTTGAAATGTTTTAACCTACTTCCACCATGATGACTGGGACAATTAGCAGCACCTGGGGCCAATCATGGCCGACCTATAAATGGAGAGAGAACACAGGAGAGCAGGAGCACAAAGGAAGAAGACAGGAGGATACGCAGCCGAGCAGACAGAAAATATCAAGAGACAAACGGCAGTCCAGAGTGTGAAGCCAAGGACACAAGAGGGCAGAGTTTAGAGCCCTTATTTCGTGAGTAACTACTGTCCAACGAAATACCTGATTTGTCCTTAAAAGACAAGTGACTGCTGTTTGTCTGTTTTTAGAGTGGGAGCCAAGCTGGAGGAGCGGGCGGTGTGCAGAAGTGTCCCCCCCCTCATCGTGTGCCTGGATTTTAAAGAACTTTTAAGCCCTTTTAGCTTGTGAAATTGTTTTGATTGTATTTTAAGTAGTTTTAGTTTTTAGTCAAGTTTTTATGTCCAATAATAGATTATTTTAACCTTTTAAACTTGAGTAGTTTGGCTCTTGATTGCCCATCACGCTCTCTCCTCGATTTAGAAGAACCCTTTCTCTCTTCCTACATTTCCACCCTTCCCCCCTCCTTTACATATATACAGTGTATGTCACATGCTGACACTTTTCTTCTTTTTCCAAATATTTCTCACTCACTTCTAGTATTGTAGAAGTGTAAATTCCAATAGCAAACTTATTTACCTTGCTTATAAAAGAGTGCCTCTGCAACTTCACAGCAACAGAGCAGGAAATCATAATCTGAAACCATAATCTTTGTAAATATTCAAGAACAAGTTCCTCTCAAGCAGAAAAGCGTCAGTTCCTCACAAGAACTTGAACCTGGGGTCCTTGCATTAAACCACATTTTCTGGAATGTGGTTTGTGCCTGTTGTGGTGAAAACTGTTAACCAAAACGTCCATGAGCAATAACATGTACCCGGTGCTTTGGGGGCCAACTTCATCTCCTTTATCTCAAGCCTTTCTCTCTGCAGCCGGTTGAGAAATATACCGTCCATGTCATCTTTGATTAATATTCACACTTCTGTCACATTTGGCATCCATTTTGATGATAAGGAGAATAATGTTATATAATTTTGGTTATACATTTTCCTTTTGAGTCACCCTTAGTTACCTGTTGTCTTTCATTTCTTACACCCTTTCAGTCTATTGAATTGCCATGTTGTTGAAAGGTGCAATACATATGTTTAGTGAGATCCTTGTAATACTGAAACATGTTCAATCTTTGACCCCATATTAATGATAATAACATGCATTTTCCAGAACATATATTAGTATTTCCTTATTTTCTATTACCTGGATAATAAAGCTGATTGGTTACCTGGCAGAATATGAAGTAAATACTGTTTCCTCATTGCAACATGAGCCTTGTTTCAAAGGGGATGTAAATAATTAACAAGCCATCATTTAAAAACATATAAAAGCAGCCAGACGAATCATATTAAAAAAAGTGTCACCATTAATCTTTAGTCTTACATCTAAAATATGAAAATATTATTTGCATATTTTTTGGAACAATAAACCAAGTTTAAGGCTTGACAGTCTTCATCAAATAGTCATGCTTTCTCTTTTGTACTTACATTTGCCTTAACACTAAAACAATGAGCTTAAAGTCGGAAAACTACAAATTTCAGAGGTGGAAATGTTTCTGTATCGCACAAAAGTACATATTACTCGTAAAAATATTGATTGATGCAGCTTCAAGCCATTTATTTGACAATATTTAAAGCAACACAAACAGGATTTGAATACAGCTTCACAAACATTTTCAGTAACAGAGAAAGTACACAGTTGTGGGGAATATTAAACTCTTAGAAAGGAAACTTTTGATGGTGCTTGGTAGATCCTTTGATATGTGACCTTTTTGGGTCAAATAACGCTTAGTCTAGTTTGACAGATTTTCACAGACTGACAATTATCTGAATTGACACATCACAAAAAATGATAACCAACATTTTACTTTAGACAATCAACCAATTACCTTTGAGGTAAGATGACGATAAACTTTCAACAAACAGGTGTGTGTATAGTTTTCTGATTAAATTGAAAATAGCCGAGAATCTACGTGTTAATGCCATGTAGCCACAAGTTATAATGACCGAGGTCAATAAGTAACAGGTGTTATAATGCAGCATAAGAACACATAAACAAGTTTTCATGTAAGCAAAAAAGGCCTAATTAAGCTAAACTTGACAGAGATTTAGAACTGGACTCCAATGTCTTCTAACGCCTCTAAAAACGTTTTAACTCCTCTAACACGGGGGTGGACGAGTCCAGTTTGGATTATCCGGGCGAGAATAAGCAAAATGGATAGGACTGCATCGTTGACCAACTAACTCACAATCCACAATCACAAACTTATTATGTGTGTCTACTCTTGTAGCCCTGCAGGTGTTGGCTTGGTATTCGACACTGACATCGTAAAGGTGTGTGGGATTGGAACTGGCACATTGTATCCATGAACATGTATCGCGTTGACAGAAACGCTTGTTTCTAAAGGTGTTCCACGACATGAAGGACTGAGTAAATCTAAATCTGCCGTTGCAGAGGCCATAGTCCCTTAGGTACCTGTATAAACAAGATAATGTTTTCACTGCAAAGTAAATGGCATTGATAAAGTATAACACTTATAACAGAATCAGTAGTGTGGTACCTAAATGAAACAGTCCTGCCTTAAAATGCAGTTAATATGAATCTCCATCTTATGCAAATGCCTTTCTAAATAAGCGTATTGACTTAACCATTTAACTCACGTTGTCCAGGCAGCCAAATTTGCTGGAATGGCACCATCCTGGAAGACATGCTTGCAAAGAAATCTGTTGAACCGATTTAAGTATCCGTTACACTCTTCAGGAGTTAAACGGACATCGACAAGGGCAAGAGTGGCCATGAAGATGATAAAGACAGCGATATTCATCTTGTCTAGAGCGGGAGAACGAGAAATATAAAAGTACGATTTTAATGTATGAACATACAATAATGTATTAATTGTATTAATGTATCAATTAAAACACAACATATATTCTTCAATATGTTTTTATTACTTACGTGTTTGTAGGCGAGCGAGCAGCGATCTGTCCCACTTCGATCAGTCAGCTGGACGATTGAATCCTCAGCTGGATGGAGCTGCTTTAGTAGTTTCTAAAGAGGAAGTAGCCTTGATCTTCATCTTCTCAAACAAGCTGAGTCACTTTGTTCTAGTGAAAGACACACTAATACTGGGTTCCTCTTATGCCTCGCCTTGTCACGTAGTTCAAATGGTAAGAAAAACAGGCCCTTTCCCCAGCAAGATTTACAGAGGAATACCGAGGTGTTCCCAAGCTCATTGAGATATTACTTTTTTGTAGTCTGAGCTTGGATAGGACGTGCCAGAGCGTCTTCTCTGAGCTCCTTCCTGAGGTCTAAGCCCCTTTGAGGTGAGCCCGTCACGACCAAAAGACCATGACTGTTGTTAATGGTTGGAAGGGTTAGGGTTTTGGGGAACGCGCGGCGCTCCATATTTAAACCTATTTAAAAACTCCTGTAATAAAACCAATACAAGTTTATAAAAGCCCTGTTTGGTCTGTGTTAATTTTTTTTAATGAAATAAAGAAAATGCAATAAAAGGGATAGAAGAGAGCAGCGGCTGAAGCACAGAGCGTATGCAGCGGGGTTAAAACCTGTACTCCTGCTCCCCCGGTGGGGTGTCCGAGGCTGTGTCCCACAACATCTGGTAAAAGACCTGGTAAGTGGCTTAAAAACATCTGGCTAAAAGTACCGAGGTTGACTTTTTTTTAAATCGGCATGCAGGTAAAATTAGTTTGAACAAATAAATGATAAATAAATACATAAAAGTGCTTAGTAAAATAAGTGCTTTTAAAAGTCAGTGCTGGTAATAAAAATCACATCAACCCAAATGTTAAAATATTCAAGATATAAAACAATATGTAAATGTCAAATGTAGAATATAAAATATAAAATATAAAATACACACAGGTTAGTAGGCACACGGGGAGGGAAAATATTTTTTAAATAAAGTCAACCAAGTGTCCCTAAAAGTGTTTAAAACCCAGGCCGAGGTCTAGAGAGGTGGTGCAGGTGAGACATGGGACACGCCTCGGATGATGTTTAAAAATACTTTATTAAAGGGGTTATTTCAGGGTGTATTTAAAATCGAATGGAAAGTAATAACTAAAATATAAATAAAATAATATAAACAATGTTTAAATCGGAAACGGGGGATTAATAATATATAAAAATGGGTTTGGAAGGTTGATCAATGGGAAAGTTAAAATCTTTGCCTTCTGGCTCAGCTAGCTTTCTATTCCCAACTGTTCAGTGCAACGCTCCCACCACTACAGAAGCCAAACCAATTCACCTGTCGATTTCGCAATCCAACTACCCTCATCATGACCCCAGGATATTCAAACTCCATGATTTGGGGAAGTAATTGCTCCCAGTCATCACAGTAATGGGGAACAACCCTGACGTTTCCCGGGAAGAACAGTCTTGTAAAATAATACATATATTTTTTTGTTGGATCTGTATGAAACTATTTGTATTTGTATTTGTATTTGTAATCACTATTTGTAATCAGATGCAATTTTCTACCTATCATATGTATGCTGATGACACTATTGTATACTCGTGTGCTCCTTCTCTGGATATGGCCGTTTCCAATTTAAAATCAGATTTTATCACGCTGCAGCATGCGCTTCTTGATTCTAAACTGCTATTGAACAGTAAGAAAACCAAAGCAATGCTTTTTGCTCCTAAGTCAGCGTCCTCCTCTTGCCTCTCCATTGACACCCTTGATGGCGTTTCTGTTGAATTTGTTGATACCTACAAATATCTGGGCTTTTGGTTGGACAGTAATCTGAACTTTAAACACCATATTGAAGTTTTAACAAAGAAATTGAAATTCACTCTTGGCTTCCTTTTCAGATTTAAATGTTGTTTTTCAATTTCATCCCGTAAAAGGTTGGTCTCTGGCTTATTCCTGTCCCAGCTGGACTACGGTGATACCATTTATAGATTTGCCTGTCCCACTGTTTTGGCCAAACTTGACCCACTTTACCATGCTGCACTGCGTTATATATCAAATGCACCCTATAGGACTCATCATTGCAAACTGTATAGCCTTACTGGATGGTCCTCACTTACTATGCGTAGGATGCAGCACTGGTTTTTATCAATGTATAAAGCCATTTTAGGAAAGCTTCCATTCTACATATGTGTCAGATTTGCCCCAGTTTGTGACTCTTACAAACTCAGATCCAGTGCCTGGATACGGTTCCAGGTACCTACTGTACGGACTGAGGCTGGAAAAAGGAGTCTTTCTTATTATGGTCCTTGGTCTTGGAATGACCTTCAATCACGCCTTAAACTGAGGGCACTTGTCTCTATTTCATGTTTTAAATTGAAGTTGTCTGAAGTCCTCACCACCAGCTGCTCTTGCAGTAACAAGTAGTGTACTTTTTTTATTGTCCTAATGTGCACAATGTAGTGACTGCTTTTTCGTCTTTTGTTTTCTTTATGTTCTCTGTATTTTATATGTTTGTGTTATGTGTTATGTGTAACGTTGCTGCCTTCTTGGCCAGGTCAGCATTGAAAATGAGATTTTATCTCAATGTTTTTTATCTGGTTAAATAAAGGTTAAATAAAAAAATAAAAATAAAATGAAAAGAAAACCCAGCAGGAATTACTACTTTTTTTGGATATGTATTACTTGTCTAGATAGAATACATGTACTAAGTTATATCTGCATTTTGTATTGCAACCCCATCTTGCAGAATGACAGCTGTAAAGTGGGGTTTCGTAAAGTTTTTCGCTATCATAAACCGTCAGCTTTTGCAGAAGTTGTCTGGAGAGCAGTTGATGTTACAGATTAACTGTTGAGCTCGTAGGAGAGATCTTAAAGATACATCTTGACTTGTTTATGGTCAGTCTGTAATTGGCCCACAATCTGCCTGCTATGCTCACAAGTGCGATTTTCCTTATTAATAATACCATCACCTTCCCTGTCAGAATCAGCATTGGGGTTGAGGGGGGTCCAGACAACTTGACTAAGAAGACAATATTTGGTGTAGACGGACAAAACAACACTCATCGTTGGGCAACCCCACGTTGCAGAATCTTGGCTTGTGTTTGGTCATGTTGCTGTTTTGCAGCCTTTCATTGGACCACAATCTGCCTATCATCCTGACATGGTTGATCTTTATTATTGATACAACCATCAACTTCCCTGTCAGAAGTCAGCATTGTGGTTGAGGGGGGTCCAGACAACTTTACTAAGAATACCATATTTGGTCTAAAGGGACAGTGAACAGTGAACAGCTCCAAAACAACAGTCTTACTCAATAATGTTCTCGAACAAGTTTCTCTCAGGCAGTAATCGTCAGCTTTCACAAGAAAATGAACCCTGTGTCCTTGCATCAACTTTATCTTGGGGCAGTGGTGGAGAAGTCTGTGTTTTGGGACACGAAAGGTCACCGGTTCAAGTCCCTGAAAGACTAAGTGCTACAGAGGTGTCCCTGAGCAAGGCACCGTTCCCTACACTGCTCCCCGGGCGCCGTACATAAGGCAGCCCACTGCTCCTAAAACTAGGGGGGGTCAAATGATGGTAAATGTCCCCAACTGTTAAACTGGACAGTTAACAGTTTGATTTTATTCAGTACGGCAACAAAAAGTCAACCCAACTGGATAGAAATGATTCTCATAGCTTACAAAGAGGTTTATCATCACGCTTGATCTTATCCTAAAGAGAGCAAAAACTGCATTTATGTTGGGGATCTGGGCCTCCTTAGAATATATAGGTATTAAGTATTTAAATAACATCCTCAAAATATAAAGTAAATACATTCTGACTCCCATTATGGTTTTTGAGCTTTAAAGTTAGGGGAGAGTGACTTTTTTTTGTTTGTAAAGGCAGGCCAAGTCTCCTACCTGCAAACCAAGGTCATTCCCTTCAGACTAATCTGTACTTTGCACTGTACAGTTGTAGAATAATGCAGAGTATTGCCCAGATGAAGAATTACACTGGTTATGTAGTCTCAGTATAGAAGTTATGTCTCAAAGCTGTGTCAGCACTAATATTTCCACAGGTATCAATTCACTTTTAATATGTTGCAAATGACATAAACACGTAAAACTAACTCTCCTTGAGAGAAATCAGCATATTGTGCCGACCTTTGACCACAGCACATTGCATGATGGGGCAGATAATTGGGCAAATACAGGGTCCATGCATCTGTAGACAGACACAGGACTAGTTGTTGGTGAACTTAAGAGCAAATACAAACGTTTGGGGAATCAATGACACCACCTTTAGTGTTTTTTGGTCCAAATAAGTTCCAGAAAGGAGAGAATAGGGATATGATTTATTTAGATGCAGACACAATGTTTTATGTTTTTTGTGCTGCATGTCATTAGTCATATCTGTTGTCTGTGTTCTGTTTATGTGCCTGACCATAATCTACTTGAGTGGATGAGCAGATAGGGTATTTGTTTTAGTTAACATTTTTCTCGGCTGTCAATGATTAACGGATTGCCAGAAAATGCGGTTAATACTATTTTCTCATTGCAAAATAACCCTTTTATCAAATAGGATGTTAAACATTAACAGGTCACTTTAAACAACATTAAAGCAGCCAGAGGGATCACATCCTTTAAAGTTCAGGGGACTGAGCGACGTTGTATCAACTTGGAAGATGAGTTTGACAATTTTACTGATTGTGTCGCTGTTTAGTGCCTTAATTTAAAAGTTATTACATCTTTCAGATAATAATAATAATAATTAATAATAATAATTCATTATATTTAGAGGCGCCTTTCAAAGCACCCAAGGACAGCTTACAATTAATAAAATATTCTAAGGAAAGGTTTAAGACAGTACAAAAGGACCGTGACAGGGAACATGTTGGGAAACAGGAGACATGTCGCATTACAGTGAGCAGGCTTATCTGAACAGGTGGGATTTGAGGAGGGACGTGAATGTGGTGATTGTGTCAGACTGTCGGATGTGAAGGGGGAGAGAGTTCCATAGTATGGGAGCAGCTAAAAGCCAGAGCCCCCATCGTGACTATAGGCGTGGGGTCAGGACAGTTAGCAGGCCAGCAGAGGAGGAGGGAGAGAGCGAGACGGGGTGTAGGAGGTCAGCTAGATAGGTGGGGGCCAGGAGAGAGAAAGAGAGAGAGAGAGAGAGAGAGAGAGAGAGAGAGAGAGAGAGAGAGAGAGAGAGAGAGAGAGAGAGGGGGTGTAGGAGGTCAGCCAGATAGGTGGGGGCCAGGAGAGAGAGAGAGAGAGAGAGAGAGGAGAGAGAGAGAGAGAGAGAGAGAGAGAGAGAGAGAGAGAGAGAGAGAGAGAGAGAGAGAGAGAGGAGAGGAGAGAGGAGAGATGAGAGAGAGAGGGGGTATAGGAGGTCAGCCAGATAGGTGGGGGCCAGGAGAGAGAGAGGGAGAGAGGAGAGAGAGAGTGGGTGTACTCCTGTAGGTCAGCCAGATAGGTGGGGGCCAGGAGAAAGAGAGGGAGAGAGAGAGGAGAGAGAGAGGAGAGGGAGAGGGGGTGTACTCCTGTAGGTCAGCCAGATAGGTGGGGGCCAGGTTGTGGAGGGCTTTGAATGTGAGCAGAAGGGTTTTGAAGTCTATCCGGTATTTTACAGGTAGCCAATGTAGACGGATGAGGATGGGGGTGATGTGGTCAGAGGATTTGGTGCGGGTGATGATCCGGGCAGCAGAGTTCTGAATGATTTGAAGTTTATTGAGGAGTTTGATGGGAAGGCCTGAGAGCATGGTATTACAATAGTCAATACGGGATGTGACGAATGCATGAACCAGGACTTCAGTGCTGGATTGAGACAGGGCGGAGTCTGGAGAAGAATGCAGTCCGGGTGATGTTTTTTATGTGGGGTGCAGATGAGAGGGAGCGGTCCAGAATGACACCAAGATGTTGTGTTTGAGTTGTGCTCTTGATAAGCCATTAAAACAGTAGAATAAGTGTCTCCTGTGCACCAAAACATACCCATCTGTTATGGAAAAATAAAGTATTCCAAAAGTATTCTAAAAGTAATCTGAATACTTTTTTAAGACACGTAACTGTATTCAGATTCGGATTACTTTCAGAGCCATGTATTCAGTATTCAGGAACTAATTACATGTACAAAGTAACCCTCCCAACCCTGGTCATGTCATGCTTGTGAAGTAAGTGAGAAACTAAAGGCTATGGAAACCAGACTGATAGACACTGAAAACAGGCTGAAGGAGAGTGAAAACCAGATTCTTGAAATGAAGAACAAAGGTTGAGCGAAACTTTAGTTCTGATTGATTTAAAGACCTCACACGGTAGAATAATGTGTGGTGATGGGATTATAAAATGGAAATGTTTTGAAATGCTACGCTAAATTTAAATGATAATGAGATTACGATGTGTCTTTGTATAAAAGAAGACGGTCATATTCAGTGCAGCAACAGGATGAGGAGAAAATACCATTGGACCCTTCAACACACACACAACTTTAATCTACAGAACCTTGATCACAAACATTGGAGGTGCCTACAGTCCATCCACAGGTAAAACTACTTCCATCATAATTACAGGTCTTAAAATGCATTGAATGACCACTGATGGTTTTTGTTTTGACTTTTTAATCAAAATAAATGTGACCAACACCCTGTTGTTTCCACAGGTATCTTTGCTGCCCCGGTTCCAGGTGTTTATAACTTTACCATCTTCTATCATGCTAGATGGAGCTATGGCACTCACTTACAGATCTTCAAGAACAATGAATTGATGATATGGACACATGATCACTCTTCAACCTCTGACACAGCTGATAATGGAGGAAACGCAGTGTTCCTGCAGCTTGTTCAAGGAGACCAGGTGTACGTGCAGCTGGCTGCAAGCACGCATGTTTGGGGAAGCGACCATCATACAACCTTCAGTGGTTTTCTGGTCACTGAAATGTGAGAATCTGTATCTCTGTAGTAATTCTTGAGGGTGGCTGACACAGTCTGAGCTCTCCAAACATCTATTAACATGAACTGTTCAAATGTAATGAAACACAAAGCTGTTGCTCAAACAATAAAGAGTCTGAAAATGCCTTCTTTAGTGATTGCTTTTGTAAGTTCTTTATCCTGCAAAGTTCACAGTGACTTTTCTTTTTTTACCCAGGACATCTAAAGCAACTGTTAAAAATGGACAGTTAACAGTTTGATTTTATTCAGTACGGCAACAAAAGGCAAAAGTCAACCCAACTGGATAGAAATGATTCTCATAGCTTACAAAGAGGTTCATCATCACGCTTGATCTTATCCTAAAGAGAGCATACACTGCATTTATTTTGGGGATCTGGGCCTCCTTAGAATATATAGGTATTAAGTATTTAAATATTATCCATTTAAATATAGCACTTTGAGTTTTGTTCACGCAAATGAAAAGAGCGCTTATAAATAAAATTAATTATTATTATTATTATTATCCATAAAATGTAAATTAAATAAATTCTGACTCCCATTATGGTTTATGAGCTTTTAAAGTTAGGAGAGACTAACTTTTTTTTGTTTGGAAAGGCAGGCGAAGTCGCCTACCTGCAAATCAAGGTCATTCCCTTCAGACTAATCTGTGCTTTGCACTGTACAGTTGTAGAATAATGCAGAGTATTGCCCAGATGAAGAATTGCACTGGTTATGTAGTCGAAGTATAGAAGTTATGTCTCAAAGCTGTGTCAGAACTAATATTTCCACAGGTATCAATTCACTTTTAATATGTTGCAAATTACATAAAACAAACTTGAGAGAAATCAGCATATTGTGCCGACCTTTGACCACAGCACATTGCATGATGGGGCAGATAACTGGGCAAATACAGGGTCCATGCATCTGTAGACAGACACAGGACTAGTTGCTTGTGAACTTAAGAGCAAATACAAACGTTTGGGGAATCAATGACACCTTTAGTGTTTTTTGGTCAAAATAAGTTCCAGAAAGGAGTGAATAGGGATATGATTTATTTAGATGCAGACACAATGTTTTATGTTTTTTGTGCTGCATGTCATTAGTCATATCTGTAGTCTGTGTTCTGTTTATGTGCCTGACCATAATCCACTTAGAGTGTTTTTGTTAACATTTCTCTCGGCTGTCAATGATTAACGGATTGCCAGAAAATGCGGTCAATACTATTTTCTTATTGCAAAATAACCCTTTTATCAAAACTGATGTTAAACATTAACAGGTCACTTTAAACAACATAAAAGCAGCCAGAGGGATCACATCATTTAGAGTTCAGGGGACTGAGCGACGTTGTATCAATTTACAAAATGAGATTGACCATTGTGCTGATTGTGTCGCTGTTTAGTGGCTTAATTTTGGCCCAGGAAGGTGATAATGTAAGTGAGAAACTAAAGGCTATGGAAACCAGACTGGTGAACAGTGAAACCAGACTGGTGAACACTGAAACCAGACTGATGGACACTGAAAACAGGCTGAAGGAGAGTGAAAACCAGATTCTTGAACTGAAGAACAAAGGTAACGTGAAACTTTAGTTCTGATTGATTTAAAGACTTCAGTGTAGAATAATGTGTGGTGATGGGATTATCGAATAGAGAAGTGTGGAAATACTACGCTAGATTTAAATAATAATGAGATTGCAATGTTTTGCTTTGTATAGAAAAGAAGACGGTCATATTCAGTGCAGCAACAGGAGGAGGAGGTAATCACATTGGACCCTTCAACACAGACACAACTTTAATCTACAGAACCATGATTACTGACATTGGTGGTGCCTACAGTCCATCCACAGGTAACTCAGTCAACTGCATTCAGTTAAATAACACCTATTACGTTCTAACAAGAATCAAGAATCTACAGTATTTCCATCCTGTCTGATAAAATACAGGTCGAAAACGTATTGAATACTTAAGAATACTGATGGTTTGAGATAATACTTTTTAATCAAAAGAAATGTGACCAACACCCTGTTGTTTCCACAGGTGTCTTCGTTGCCCCGGTTGCAGGTGTTTATTACTTTACCATCTTCTTTCATGCTGGAGGGAACCTTGCAGCTAAGTTAACGCTCAACAAGAACAATGACTTAGTGGTCATGACCCAGGATCACCCTTCAACCTTTGACACAGCTGATAATGGAGGAAACGCAGTGTTCCTGCAGCTTGTTCAAGGAGACCAGGTGTATGTGCGCCTGATTGCAAAGACGTTTGTTTGGGGAACTGACCATCATACAACCTTCAGTGGTTTTTTGGTCACTGAAATGTGAAAATCAGTATCTCTGTAGTAATTCTTGCTTGAGGGTGGCTGAAAAAGATCTGAGCTCTCTATAAACTGAATATCTATCACCATGACATGTTCAAATGTAATGAAACACAAAGCTGTTGCTCATAGAATTATAAAATGAAGTTTAAACATTTTTCTTCGATCATTGCTATATTAAATTTGACAGTGAATTTCTTGTTTTCTGTTTCCTGAATATCTTAATATATTGAGTGTTGGGCCTCTCAATTAAAAGCTCCATCTCATTGCAACAACCTCTCAACTTAGATGTCTAACCTGCCTGATAATGCATCAATGGAAGACACATGGAGCGAGAAATAAAGACATGGAGAAGTTCCATTTATTCAAATGTCAAGAAGTGCTACTTTGATATTAGCGAACCTATTTGCATTACAGTATTCAAAACTCACCTGCTTCATCTCAAACTTGCAAAGGTGGCTCGAGTTGTATCAGATAGAGATTCACTGGACTCTGTCCCTTAAAGGATCTTGGTAGATAAAGAAATACAGCATCTCTCCTGGTGTTTTTACTGAAACTTATTACGCCGATTTTAAATAACCTATACATTAAAGGTGGGGAAGGTAATTTTGGAGAAACCAGCTCGAGATCGCTAGAATTTGAAAATACACAGCCGGACAAAATCTGCCACTTCCTTACAGAGCCCCTCCTCCAACACACACGAACGCGCACATGACCAATGAGGGCACGAGATAAGTTTGTGCACAGATGGAAGGCTGACAGGCAGGTAGGCCATCCAGTTACTTTAGCCGGGCCGGCTAAAATGATTGGTCGTGCTTTTTACAGTACTACGGCTTCCACAGATGAAATCTTTTTATGGATTTGTTGTCAAATCATTTAAGATATTCATTGCTATCGGGATGTTAAGAGCATTCCATGGAATATAACAAAAAGTGTATCTCGAGCCGGTTTCTCAAACTTACCTACCCCACCTTTAATGAAGCAGTGTGCCATATAAGCATATCATTAGCATATAATCATTATTTAGGGGACCAGTGTTGCTTGTAACAAAATATAGATACAATACAATACAGCTTTATTTACAAAGCACTTGAATACCTCCAGACCAAAGTGCTGTACAGTCAAATAAACAAACAAAAACATACAAAAAGTCACACAGCACAGCTCACACTCCATAAAACAAGAACAAGTAAGAACAATAGACAATTTAATAGCAATAAAAGCAACAATCTAAAAGAGCTTAGACCTGGGCACATTCAGGAGCAGTTGATCAGCTGACCTGAGAGGGCGGTTGGGCGTGTTGGGGTGTAGCAGCTCAGAAATATATGGTGGGGTCATGCCATTTAGGGATTTAAAAGTAAATAAAAGGATTTTGAAATGAATCCTAAAATGTATTAGCCAATACAATACTGCAGCCAATGGAGCGAAGCCAAAATGGGGGAAATGTGGTCATATTTCCGTGTGCAAGTTAAAAGCCTTGCTGCTGCATTTGCATTGATGGACAGTATCCATTCAACCTTAAACCTAAAACAATCTTTGTACAACCTTAAACATAAGGCCCAAAGAAAGAAGACGAAAAAATACAGAATCAAAAATCAAAGTCTCAGTTTGTTTAAGACCACGCAGAACGCTTCAACTGTAGATCCAGAAAGCCACACACACGTTTCTCCACACTGTGTGTATTTAACTTGCTGTGAAGTGTACATCAAACTCGCACTGCAAAAAAAAAGAATCTTTACATCCAAATATCAGTTTGTGTATTGTAAATGTATATCCATTTATAAGTGCAGCAGACAGTATGTTAATAATGTTCCTAATTGTAAATACCTTTTTGACATAGGCTTCTGTAGTAACGATAGACAGTAAATGAAGAAAGTCTGTCATCAAGTGTTGACCAACACACACACAGGTGCCACAGATGGAAAACCCAAGCAGTACTTATTTTGTATTAGAGAAATAAGCTGTAGTTACGTTTCATACTGACACTTTGCAAATATTGCTCACTTGTAGTGTATCACCCATAGCTCATTAGAATATTCCATTAGCAACCGTATTTACAAAGCTTTAGAAAGAGGTACTCTGCACCTTAACAGCATCAGAGAAGGAAATCATTACCTGTTATCATCCACAGTTGGAATTTTAGAAATACCATACCATAGAAATGTCCAAACAAATACAATAGAAACTCTAAAGACTTGCAAGGGTGGGAAATATCTTTTAATAGCACAAAAGCACATCATTCAATGTTAAAATAAAACATATTGATTAATGCTGCTTAAATTAATTAATTGGACACATATACAAAGCAACACTTCAGGATTTGATTACATTTTCACAAAGATTTTGTAGTAAAATGTAACAAAAAACACGAGTTTAAGAGTTTTTTACACAATAACAATACTATGAACTTAACGCATCACAGAAAAGTATAACCAACAGTTCAATAAAGAGAGAAACCAATTCACTTTGACATAATGTGACAATTTAGTTTCAACAAACACACAAGTGTAACGTTTCTGACTTGAGAATAACTGAATGTAATTATCAGTAACATATGTTTAATATGATACGTTTATCACAAGTCATCTCCTTAATGTAACAACTTGTTATAATAACCAGGCTCAAATATGTAACAGATATCCAAAATAACATGTTTTCATGTAAGCAAAAAACGTTTCTCCTCTACCGAGGTTGACAGGGTGCAGCTGACAGGTTTGGCACTTGGTCGGTGTACCTCTCAAAATGAACAGGAAGGCATTGGTTTTCCACAATATCACAAATCAAAACCACAAATTGTGTCTCATAATATACATTTCTAACCCTGTTATTTTGATCCAATTTGACATGATATACCAGACATCTTGTGTACATACATAAGTTAGCTCGGTATCTACTTCTTTCTAGCGGTTGTCCTTTGCCATTACAGATGTCCGTGACTCTTTCCTCATCCCCGCTCTTGAAGAAGGACTGCAGAGGTCTGTTGATGAGTCCATGGTTCTCGATGTATCTGCACAACGAGATCATTGCCTTCTAGTTAGAGCGGAGCACGACTCCTGACTTTTCCCTGTGTTTTTTTTTATATATATCTGTTGTAATTTATTGTCTTTTATTGTGATTGTAGTAATGTGTTTTTATTACATGTACAGCACTTTGGCTCGACCAAAAATCGCTTTTAAATGTGCTTTATAAATAAAACTTGATTTGATTTGATTTGATTTGATTGCAAAGTAAATGCCGTGGACAAAGTACAACACAAGGCATGTTCATAAAGCAGTTGCGTTATAAAACAATTCTCACTGTACATGATATTAATATGAATCTTGATCTTATTAAAAACCATATTAAATTAACACACTGACTTGAACTCACATAAGTCATAAGACCTAACTCACCTTTCCCATTCATTGTAGTTCCTTCTGTCAAATCGGTCCCGAAGGATGTGTTTTCTAGAAAAGCTGTTGTACGCATTGTTATTCCTTATCGTCCGGCAAGGTGGATTGATCGCATGAACAAAGGCAAAAGCAATCGTGAGGAGGATCAGGGCAGTGGTGATCATGCTTTCTAGAGCGGGAGAAGGAGAATATTTAAGTAAGGAAGTTAGTGTTTGTTTGTTTGTCAAAAAAACAGAACTCAATTTGTTTAGTCTCCCTCAAAACTGAAATCAAATACCAGGTTTAAGTTGAAATCCAATGTATAATAAATGATATATTATGCCAAATAACCATCCAAATGAAATATAAGGAATAGGTTCATTATAAGAAGGGTTGAAGATTTTAAAAGGACCCAGTCATGGCCTTTGAAGCTGCACTTCCTTGTTTCGCATTGAAAGATAAAGACCCAACAGCAGCAGATTTACTAATCCCTCCAATTCTATATCTCTATCTATATCTATATCTCTATCTATATCTATATTCTATTCTATCATGTTTTATTTATGTATTTTTTAACAAAACTCTGAAAATATCTAGAGAATAGCCCTATAACCCTTAATAATAACAAATGATCCCTAACCCTATGTCATCTCACTTTATACCTTAAGACATGTTGAATAAGGGAATTAAATACATAACTTGATCATCAGTAGACAGACACATTTAAGAGACTCATGATGATAAAATTATTTAACAAATGAGAAGTAAAAAGAGTGAAAACAAAATGTTTATGTTACATTATATATAGATATGTGGTGAAATGAAACCTGCTTCATTTGCTTTTAGAGGAAAATACATTACCACATTGTTAAGGATACCTCGAGAAAAAATATTTGTCTCTTTCTTTTCTCATGGTCTCTCCTGGTGTTTTTACTGAAGCTTAATATTGATTTTAAATAACCTATACATTAATGAACCGGTGGCCAGTCATATACTGTAAGCATAGCACCGGTGATGATTGTAACAACATATGGATGGACAACATCTGATTATAAGTGCAATTTTGTAAGGAATATCCAATTGGGCATATGTTAATAAAAAGGCCTAATAGTACATGACAATGGGTTCTGAAGTAATGGTAGACAGTAAATGAAGAAAGTCTGCCATCAAGTGTTGACCAAAGATGTCACAGGTGCCACAGATGGAAACCCATAAGCATTACTTATTGTGTGTGAGGAAATACCAGGTGTGTATGTCACATGGCGAAGTATTTTAATTATATTGCTTGGTTTTTGTGTGTTTCATACTTTTTATTTTGTGCTTTTATTCCGAAGTGTTTGCACTGTTGATATTTATCTGGTTTTACTTTTAAGCATGAATTTATTTATTTAACCTACTTCCACCATGATGACTGGGACGATTAGCAGCACCTGCCAATCATGGCCGACCTATAAATGGAGAGAGAACACAGGAGAGCAGGAGCACAAAGGAAGAAGACAGGAGGAGACGCAGCCGAGCAGACAGAAAATATCAAGAGACAAACGGCAGTCCAGAGTGTGAAGCCAAGGACACAAGAGGGCAGAGTTTAGAGCCCTTATTTCGTGAGTAACTACTGTCCAACGAAATACCTGATTTGTCCTTAAAAGACAAGTGACTACTGTTTGTCTGAGTGGGAGCCAAGCTGGAGGAGCGGGCGGTGTGCAGAAGTGTCCCCCCCTCATTGTGTGCCTGGATTTTAAAGAACTTTTAAGCCCTTTTAGCTTGTGAAATTGTTTTAATTGTATTTTAAGTAGTTTTAGTTTTTAGTCAAGTTTCTATGTCCAATAATAGATTATTTCAACCTTTTAAACTTGAGTAGTTTGGCTCTTGATTGCCCATCACAATCTCTCCCCGATTTAGAAAAACCCTTTCTCTCTTCCTACATTTCCACCCTTCCCCCCTCCTATATACAGTGTATGTCACATGCTGACACTTTTCTTCTTTTTTTCCAAAT